GCCCTGGCCCTTGTGTTCCATGTCACAACAAAAGGAATGAGAACACTCACGTTCTTGCTTGGCTGCACTTCTCTAGAAGTTTTTAAGATGTATCTTGGCTTCCAGAGAGCCAAATAACTCTTGATCCAGTGCCTTAAAAAGGTGCCTATAGGCCTCATGACTTCATCACTGAACCGCAGACAAGAGCACTCAGATCCTGAAACTGAAGTCATGGGACCGTGGCAAACACTCGCACAGAGGCTGTGCATTCCACCCACCGGACAATTCTACCTGGCCCCAGAAGGGGGCGTGAGAGGCGATCGGACTCTCCTTCCTTCTTTTGGGAGGGGCTAAACTAGAACCAGGGCCCTGGGGCCTTACCTTATCCAGAAGACCAATTGGGGTCTGTCTGTACACCTCTCTCTGCAAGTCTGGGCATGGCCCCAACACCAAACCAGTGGTCAAAGCGGCTGGCGGGGCTGGCTTCCCTGTCAGGGAACCAAAAATGTTATGGCAATTTCCCAGAGAAATCAGACTGTACTCAGAGAAGAGAGAGATTTAATTGTCACACTGGTGGGCTCTGTGGGATCTCTCCCCAAAGGGCTGAGCACCCAAAGGAAACTTGTTATCCCATCCATCATACCATAAGCATTCTTTCTTTAAAAAAAAAAAAAAGATTTATTTATATAAGAACTGGGGTACAGGCCAGAGGTGCAGGAGAGTGAGAAAATTCACCAGAGACAGAGTGGGAAGCAGAACAGCAGATGGACTGAAAACACTGCTGAGGGGAGCAGCGGGCAAGACAGGAGAGGTCTGCCGCGCCAGTGGGACTCTCCCTGGCCGGCCCGGAATTGAACTTGCACTGCAGAGGCTGTGGACAGCTCCAGAGGCTGTAGACAGCTCCACAGGGCTGCGCTCAACCCGCTGCGCCACCAGGGAGGCCCAGCATAAGCATTCTTTATTGCTGAGGGAGAGGGTTCAAGGTAGTCATGGCTACCACTGTGAACAAGCAGTGCCCATACATCCAGCAACTTCTCTGCTCCAGCAAGCAACATAATCAGAGCGGTAGACTTCTCCAAACAGCAGGCTTGGGAAAGCAACAGAAACTAAGCATCAGACTCCCGCAAGCAGCAGGCTTGGGAAACTTCCTGCTTCAATATACATACTAACATCTCCATTACAAATCCACATAGTACCTCTCCTTTCCTGTTCCATATTTGTTTCTTCCTTTTCATACACCAAGAACACTTATTCCTAACAGACTCAATATATTTACTCATTTTTTCCCCCTCTTGTTTAATATACATAAAGGACTTTCAAGATTAGTACACTAATACTGCTATTAAAAGCAAACCTGTCTTTATGAGCTGATATTCTTTTTTTAAATGGCTAGTTTCTCATTTTATGGTGGTATCTTGATTCATTTAACTAGTATCTTATGGATGAGTATTTACCTAATTTCTGTTTTTGTTTGTTTATCTACAATGAACTATTAATATCCATAAAATAACCTTGTGCCGATGTAAATTTAAATTTTTGAGTGTGTATCCTCAGGGTAAATTTCTGTAACTACTGCGGTTGAGTTAAAGGGGAAAATGCATTCATAGTATTGGTATACCTCTATCTATATCAAGTTTGTATATTAATGTTAAACTCAATTTATAAAAAATGAGCCAGAATAGCATTTTCTTTCTCTGCCCTCTACTCCCCCTCCCCCACCCCTCAATCTCTGGAATAACCCATGAAGCATTGTAATTAGTCACTTTTGGAGAGTTTTATAAAATTTCCATGCAAAACTATCTGGATTTGGTATCTTTTATGAGATATTTCTTTCATACTATCCTTCATCCCCACTGCCATTTCTTTTATGGAAAGTGGCTTGCTTCAATTTTTAAAAAATAACATTTTCTTAAAATTTATATCCATTTCTTCTAGATTTTTATGTTTTTGTTCAGCATTTCCAACAGCCTCATATTTGCTTATATTTTCTCTATTTCAATGTTTTTTCCCCAACTAATATTATATTATATATTTGCTTATTTTATCTTTTGCTTAGGTTGGCTAATAGTTTTCTATTTCATTGTTTCTTTTCAGAGAACCACAATTTTGTTCTATTATTCCTTTTTGTTTTGTCTTTCTACCCAATTTCATACAGTTTAAACTATCATTTCCACTTGAGAGTTTAAAATTTTTAATGAGTTTTGGATTTCACCAAATATTAACTAATATTTGACAAAGGTGCAAAATACTTAATGGGATCGATAATCTCGCCAACAAATTACATTTGAAATCAAATAACTACATGCAGAAAAATAAAGTAACCTTTATATTACACAATCATAAAAATTCAAATTGGATTAATGACATAAAAATAAGACCTGATACTATAAGACTCATGAAGAAAATATAGAGGAAAAACTCCTTAAATTGGTCTTAGCATTGATTTTTTTTTTCAACATGACACCAAAAGTATATGCAACTAAAGTGATTATCACCATAAATCAAAAGTGTCCATATCAAAATAAACTCACCAAAATTCAAAGTCAACTACTGAATGGGAGGATATATTCACAAACTATATATTAGATCAGGAGTTAATATCTAAAAATAAATAAATTACTCATACTATTCAATAACAACAACAAAATCCAAGCAATCTTATTTAAAAATGGACAGAGAGGGCCTCCCTGGTGGCGCAGGCAGTTGAGCGCCACACTGTGAAGCTATCCGCAGCTTCTGTAGTGCTGGTTCCATCCCAGCCAGCTGGCAAGAATCCCACATGGCTCAGCAGACCTCTCCTGTCTTGCCCGTTGCTCACCTCAGCAGTGTATTTCATCAGTCTGCCTGTTCTGTTCCTTTCTCTGTCTCTGGTGAATCCTCTCACCCTTCAGGACATCTGGCCTGTTCCCCGGTTCTTGTATAAATAAATAAATCTTAAAAAAAAAATGGACAGAGGGGCCGCCCCGGTGGCGCAGCGGTTGAGCGCTGGGTTGCAAAGCTGCCCGCAGCCTCTGCCGCACCGGTTTGATCCCCGGCCACCGGGTGAAGGTCCCACATGGCGTGCAGACCTCTCCTGCCGCCCGCTGCTCCCTTCAGCAGTGTACTTCGTCTCTCTGCCTGTTCTACTCTCTGCTCTGGCTCTAGTGAATTCTCTCACCCTCCCGTGTCTCTGACTGTACCCAGTGCTTGTATAAATAAATAAATAAATCTTAAAAAAAAAAAAAAAAGGACAGAGAAAAACTAAATAGACATTTTTCCAAGAAGACATCTAAAGGACTAATTAGTGCATGAAAATGCTCTGTATCACCATTCAGGAAATGCAAATCAACACTACAATAAGCTATCACCTCATGCCTGTTAGAATAGCTGTCATGAATAAGACGGGAGATAACAAGTGTTGGTGAGGAAGGGGATAATAGGGAATCCTTGTGCACTGTTGGTGGGAATGTAAATTGGTTCAGTTACTATGAAAATATTATGGAGGTTCCTCAAAACATTAAAAATACAACTACCATGTGATCCAGCAATCCCACATTCCCACTTCTGAGTATTTATGCACAGGAAATGAAAATAGGACATGGAAGAGATAGCTGTATTCTTGATGTTCATTGCAGCATTATTGACAACAGTCAAGATATGAAAACAACATAAGTGTCCACTGACAGATGAGTGACAGAAAATGTTATTTACACACACACACACAAACACACGGGGATGGGGTAGAGAGAGAGAGGGGGGAAGTATTGTATGATATGTGAAATCCAAAATAACCAAACTGGTAGAAACAGAGAGTATAACAGTGGTTACCAACAACTGAGAGGTAAAGGGGTTGGGGAAATGTCGGCGATATTAATGGGTACACACCTGCAACTAGAAAATGAATAAATTCTAGAGATCTAATGTACAGCAAAATGATTATAGTGAACAATACCGCATTATGGTCTTCAAATTGCTAAGAAACTAGATCTTAAATGTTTAAGATACTAGATCTTAAATGTTCTCACCATGAAAAGAACTGATGGGGAGTGAGAGGTGGGTGAAATAAATAAAGGACGTCCAGTTATAAACTTTCAGTTATAAAATAAATAAACCACAGGGTTGTAAATTACAGCTTGGTGACTGTAGTTAATGATAGTGTGTTGCATGTTTGAAAATTGCTAAAAGAGTAGATTTTACAAGTCCCCATCATCAGAAAACAATTTTGAACTATGTATGGTCATGGATGTTAACCTGACTTACCGCAGTGATCATTTCACAATCTATACAACTATGAAATCATTATGTTGCACACCTGAAACTAATACAATATTGTATGTCAGTTAGATCTCAATTTTAAAAAAGAAATGGTGGTGTAATATATGTTAGGTGTACGCTGAGCTGTTAGTAGAGCTATGGTGGTAATCACATCGCAATATGTTAAATGTATGAAGTCAAAATGATGTACGCCTTTTACTTACACAGTATTCGATGTCAATTATCTCTCAATTAAAAAAGAGAGAGAGTGAAAGAGTTGGCAGTATTGTATATGCAAAAAACAGTCTCTGGCATAGCAATCAGCACCAGGCTGGTCAAGATATTGGACACTGCAAGACAAGCTAGACAATGGAACAGGGCACGACAGGTAAACTTAAATGGCTGCAGGTGCCAGGTAAGTAAGATGTGAGATGTATAAGAAAAGTGGGCCAGTACAAAGTTCCTACTTTTGTACATTGGGTAGGTGAGAGTAGCGGGGAGGGAGGGAGCAGGTTGCACAACAGTAAGCTAAAAAGCATGTGACACTTCAGTAGGTGGTAGCTGCTACTCAACCTCAGTAGAAATTTTTAAAGGGAAGCTAGAAATTATTATTTTTATATAAAATACCATATTTTAAAATTTTGCCTCAAAATATCAGAGCACCAGGCTGCTATTCAAAATACAAGGCCAAGTCTGGACACCAGATTTGATTCATGGGCTACCAACTTAGGAAGAAGTATTCAGAAGAAATGGGGACAAACAAAGAAAAGAGAAAACAATGATAAAGAAGCTTGAAAACTTTATTTATGTTCTATCTTTAACATATTGAAAGCAGAGCAGTTTTATGACAAAAGTTTTGAGAAGGAAATTCTCTTTCTAGTCTCACCACTATAGCTACCAGTCCTTCCCTTATCCTATTATTATTATTAAGCAGATAAATTGTGATTGGAATAATTTATATATACAAATTATATAATAGGAAAACAATTTCATTGCTAATTGTAAGCAGGTTAGGACAATTTATCCAAAATAAGAAAAACATAACAGAATCCTGTACTTTGTATTTTAAAACTGATATTTTAGCAATATTTTGACAATGATTTATTCAATTTACAATCTTTTGGCTACACAATATTAAAAGAATATTGGCATGCAAAGCAATATGACTTCAGAATACACCTCTTAAATTTACACAACTTAAAATTTCAAACATTCCATGTTGCTGGCAGATGATCTTGTGAAGATGATCTTGAATAGTGACATACTTATTTCCTAGAGATAAAAAAAAAAAAAGAGAGAGAATGATTTTATGTGGCTGTAAGACCCAGATGCTATAGTTAACTTAGACAGGAATTATTTTCATTGATTTATTTTGATGAAAGTAATTTATCAGTCCTTCATTCTATAAATCCTTTTCATTCAATTGTATTCTTAGGTATTTACATTCAGAGATGACTTATCCTAAACATACTCTACTGAAATATTAATATAATGTTTATGAATAATTATTAAAAGTAATTAACTATAACCCATCAAGATACATAATTTTTGGTTGATCTTTTTTTTTAGATTTTTTACTACTGTGCTTATTACATTAAGTATATAATACCATGTATACTGGTATTTTATACCATGATAAAATTTCAACATATATATAGTAATTTGCAATGTGACATTAATATATAAATGACTTAACATTTCCGTGTTTTATTCATATCTGTGCTCTGAATGCCTCATCCTTTATTGACATTCAAGAAGTACTTTTTTAAAAAAGTAAATGGGTGAATGGATAAAACTCTAATAATCAAAAATGAATATAATAATGCACTTTTAAATGATTCATAACTTTGATCATATACCAAGAGAATGAAGATTCCTTTATAGCGAGCAACCTATAGCAGTATGATAGTAATTTCAGAGGTTCACATGGTTTTGAGAATGAACTAAAATGCAGTCACCTGTCAGTAATTTTGGTTTGAAGCAACCAGTTTATAAAATCCCGGGTGGCAAGATTATCAAGCACTGTGTTCATTTCATCAGAGAAAGAGCCATCCGCATGTCTGCGGTTAAGTTCTTCAACCATGGCTACTTCTTCTGGGAAACTAATAAAAACAGAAATAAAGTTGGTATTTAGTTAAAAGTTTTCAGTAAATGTTTATTGATTGTCCATCACAAAGAGCACGTGTGAAGGTCATTAAGGAAACATTAAGTTTCTATTTACAGAGCACGTGTAAACAGCCTCACAGAAGCCTGCATGTCGGAAAGGGAGTTATTTAGGTGGTAAAGAGCACAGTTGGGGTCAGAAACCAAACTTCTAGAAAGTCATGTCCTCTTCCATACTCCTGGTGCTTTAACATTTTCAGGGTATCGGCAACACAGAAATTACTGTTGAGATGATTAATTTGTCTGTAATTCCAAAAGTATATATCCTGTTAAAGCTGGCAATTATCAAAACAAACTTGTAAAATGCAGTATGAAAAAATGAAAATTTTGTTACGTTTTCTCTTTGATCGGCTTAACATTGCAGAATTTTTGGTATTCCTTTAAAATACTAGAAAATATTCTCAACTGAAACGACTATTTTACCATTGGTTTTGTATTTTTGGTTGCTAATATTTAAAAAATTAGTCACAATGCTAGTTTTCTTTGTGTTGAGATCTCTTTATGTTTCAGTAAGCTTGTCTTAAGTCTTGTTATAAAAACAGAGTTGACATGAGTTGAACATGAGCTTGAGAGAATGAGATAGGTCGGGGGTCTGTCGTGTTAAAATCCAAGGAAGTCAAACTTAAAGTTTTCTGAATTATTTCCTTCTTTTTTCCTTATCCCTAGTTTTCCTGGGACAATCCTGGTTTAAGCTTACTGTCCTGGTGTTGTCATCAAAAGCACTCTTGAAAAGTGTCCTGCATTCACAAGTTAATCCCTTAACTATAACACAACTACCATAGGGAATAAAAATGTAACCTGTTTGACGCTATTATTCATACTTGCTACCAAGGCCAAAATAAATTAGATGTTTATATATACTGTATCACTGTCTTCTGCAAATAGGAGTTATTTCCTTACTTTGAGAGACTATACTAATTGCTTCTTTAATCCAGATCCATATATAAATAACTCTTGTCTAGGTTTTCAGCATCAAGCAACGAAAATAAATGTTAAATAAGAATATTCAGACTTACTCTCTCCTTCCTCGGCCTTTCACCAGCCAAGCAATGAATTCCTTGGCAGCTTGGCCTTCCAAATAAGAACTTACATCACTGGTAAAGGTCCCTTCAGCATGTCTCTCAAATTCATCATGACGTTTGGCAATGTTATTCCTGAAGGAAATGTGAAAGTTAAATTGAAGATCTGTCTCTTTAGCAATATGGTTCTCACCTATAAGCAGTGGCAGCTTTGGGTTCGGGATTCTACGTAGGAGGAGCGTAGGGAGATAGGATGGCTGGGAGGTTTGTCTTGAAGCTACATTAATTATCTGTGTTGAAGATAGATGAGAGAACGCTAAATCTCCGCCACTCCACCCAGCACAGCCATTTTTACCCTGTCCTGCTTCATTGTGTCATTAATTATTAAAGCTGTGTTTACTTTAGTCTTGATAAATATGACTTTCCGATGAGATATGCTAGTGCAAAAAAGGCAGCTATTTGTCATTCCAATGTAAGAGGTCAGAGTTAATTGATTCAAGGGAAAGCAAAGGATCATCTCAAAACGTCATGTAGAGGACCACATGATAATGGACTAAAGAAAATGTGTGGTCTGCTAGCCATGGAGGAAAGCTAAGAAGATGGCCATGTCACTTTCAGTATGTGCTGAGTGCTCCAGGGATGTGGTTGACTAGCTGTCCTCAATCGCCCTGGGATTATTACCCCTGAAAGGTCTTATCTTAAACACACAACAGAAAAGGGCTGACAGTAAGGATTCCTTTACATTAATTTACCAAGTTGTGGCATTTCCTTTCTAGGAAAGAAGACAGCTGTTTTCATTTTTTCCAAATTTGTGATTTCTTACATTTCGCCAGTGATCTCACTTGTCCTTCACAGGAACTTCCCTCACGGTCTGCCCTGACCAAGACCATCTTTCCTGCTGTTGTAGCCTCACTTGAAGCTCTAGCTTACCGCTCTGTCTCTCTTATTCCTCCTGCTGGCTTATGTTCATTCTCTCTCACTTTTTCTTCTCCATTCTATCCAGGCAAATATATGCCCTTTTCCTGATTTGCAGATTCGTTTAGCTACTTTGTATGCATAAATCCCTTCCCCTTATGGGCCACCCTCCAAAGAAATTGTGAAATTCCACCATCTCTGTGAAACCCTTGCGGATGATTTCCTCCAGTAGCCTAGATGCAGCAAAAAACCCAACACTGTCAAAGAAATTCCAACATTAAAATGTATGCTTTATGACAAGCTTGTGTTCTTATTTGCCTTCTTTTCTCTTTATGCTGAGGAGTGAGGCTGTAATTTTAAATGTGTATCTTGGATTGTATTCCACAAGAAAATGACTGCATCTGTTTCTATTCCTTACCATTATTAACTTGGCTGTGGGATATTTTCAATGTGATCAAAGTTACTACCTTGAGCCCTGCAAGAGTATGTTGAATTTACTCCGTCATGTGGTCTGAAATTAAACCCTTTCTCTCAAAGGTCACAAAAGTCAGCTCTTGATTTCAAAGGAAATTGGGCAAAAGAGTAAATATTACAAAGATCACAGTTTGGAAAATAAAGTCTATGTCCCATTGGAGGGTGGGAGAGTGTTCTGAGAAGTAAATGAATGGAATATTCAGAGAATGACGTCCCCAATCTTGAAAATCATTAAAACTGGAGGAGTTTATGGGCACTATTTGAGCAGGATAACTTAAGAAATTCTGGGGATATTTTAAACATATTTATGTGTACATTTCTGACCAAGGTCAGACTCTTACTTGTTCCTCTTAGTGTTCATCAACCACTGCACAAAATCCTGGGCACGCCTAGAGTCCAGATACTTGCTGTAGTCACTGGTGAATGTTCCCTGTGAATGGCGCTTGTCTTCATTCATCTGATCTGGGTCATTGAGTGGGTCTGTCTGGGGAGCTGGGAATGATCTGTAAAGAATGGTGACTGGTACAACAAAATATCTTCGCAACACTGGATTTACTTATTAAGTATTTTATCTGTAAAATTCAGCTTTGGGCATTTCAATAGGTAGTCGAGAGACCGTAGCTTGTCATGGGATTCCCATAGTTTTATTAAACTTGAATACACCTCAATTTCAGCAACAGATTTTTTTCAACTGGCTCCTCCCCCTCCCTAACAATGACAGGAGAGAGCAATGACTTGAATATTTTAAATGAGTGAAGGATCCCAAATTATTTGTTTGGACAACAGATAGGTTCCCAAGTCTGTTTTGCGTATATTAATATTTTTAAAAAGTGGTGCAATTACCCAATTATGTGGTAGTTAATGTAGAACCAAGACAATTCAAAGTTCAAAGAAAGATGAGCAAAAGCACATGTGCTCATTTGAAACTGAATAATGGGCAATCCACATGTCAGTAATCAACAGTTGGTTGACATGGAAAATATGGGAAAATATTCAATGTGATTAATACCGTTAAATGGAAATGAGATTCTATTTTTTTTTTTACCTGTCAAATTAACAAAGATTAAATTTGAGGGGAAATATCGTGAGAGGACTGTTTCTATACTGCCGATGGGGAATGTACACGTGTATAATTTTCCTGAAAATAAGTTGGCAAGATAGTATATAAGAGATTTAAGCTCATTTAAACCCTTTGACATAATAATTTTGCTACTAGAAATCCATCCTCAGAAAAGAGTGAGACACGTAGGGGAAAATGTTATTTGCACTACTCCTTGTGCAAAAATTTGAATAACTGTTAAGTGTTCAATATAGGAGGAACAGTTAAATAAGTACATTTATGAGATGTAATAGTATGTAGCCATTAACTACTATACATCTAATAATATTTTTAGTGATAGTAAGAAAAGCTAACAGTATAATTCCAAGAGTAAAAATACAACACAAAGCTATATATAATAATCTGAGGTCTATTTCCATGCAGGACACACACACACACACACACACAGAGGAGAAGAACATACTAGATTTTAAAATTATGAATAGTTTTCTCTGGACAATGAATTTTGAATACTTAAGTTTTTTACATATTTTTTATATTTCCTGTCATGAACGTGTAGGACATTTACAATTAGCAAGAAACAATGTTATTTTTAAATGGAATAGAAAAGAGAAAAAGTTGGTATACATAATGAAATAATGTACTATGTATGTGAGCAGTGAATGGATGGATGGATTGGATCAACTGAAGATTTCAAAGAACCATAATTATCCATAGGACACATTTTCAACATGCCTGTTCTTGGGGTTATGAAACAACATACACTTTGGTTTATACTCCAGAAAAGTCTTATCACAATGATATTTAATATATGAAAATTGCTTACAGTAGTTACTCTAAATTACTGAGCTATTCATGAGCCATTATTTTTCTAAGGTGTCTTCTAACCCCAGTGCTATTTGAGTTCTAATCTAAAGATTTAGTACCTGGCTTTCTCCTCTGTATCTTGAAGGGAACGTTGCCAGCTGCCTTGTACCAGCATAAACAATCCAGCCACAAAGTAAATGATCTTCATTTTTGCTGTCTGTTGGAACATAGAGTTGGGGTGGGGGCATGGGCATGTTGGTCTAAATTAGTATTTTGACTAAATAAATATTGTAAATTGAAAGAACAAGTGAATTAATTTTATTCTGATTATATCTCCAGCTTCATTTTAAAGAGGATATATTATTCCCCAAGGTATTTTTTTGTGGCAAAAAAAGGATACAAAAGATATGTTCCACCATTAAGATTTTTCATTAGTATAGGGCACTTCTGTTAATGATTAGAAGGCTCACTTCCAGACTCAAAATTAAAAATGTCCACGATAAACATTAAAATATCCACTGTAGATGATATGCTACATATGGTTAGCCTGAATGGCACCTTATCCATAATGCCTCCCCCTTCACTATCAGTCTGGCTTTCAATTAATAGTCCTTCACTTCCAAGCATTTACATTATACTGCATTTCAACCATCTTAAAGCAGCCTCAGGCTACAACTTGGCATACCAGCTGTCGGTTCAGATGTATTATTCATTTATATTTTAAATAGTGTAACTTGGTCTAGACTTTGTAATTATAAAGCGGCCAACAGATTTGAGGTATTTTAGGGTGCTTTGACCTGTTCTAAATTAAAGAAAAAAATCATTTTAAAGACAAGCAATTTGCAACAAGAACTAATGCTTCTGGCAACTTGAACAATCACAACTAAGAAACTAAGAGATCACTGTCATAAGGAAAATTAATGCTTGCTTTGAAGTCTTGGAAGTCCCTCGGATGTTTTATAATTGGACTTAGTCCAGGACACGTCATTCGTCATTCACTGCTAGTGACACCCTAGACCTGGTTGTAGGATACACCTGGTTGCCTGTCCTCATATCACAAGCAGATGCTCTGTGAAGCTAGAGGCTGCCAAGGACATGGTGCTGCGGTGCAGATGGGTGGGGGCACCGTGAAGTAGGGCAGAGTCCCCACGGGGCTAGTGCCTCTATTTTCTGAATAGAAACCTCGTTCAATATTGCCCTGGACTTTCTCTGCTACTTTCAAGTCTGACCATGTTTACTGTGAGAAGTGGGGATTTTAATCCAAGTTTGATTATGCTTATCCATAAATAATTTGAAAAGAGTATTTTTAGCAAAAGGCATTTGGTTTGAAATAAAGATTTTACAAATATAATTTTTCACTATCAGTCTTTTCTTTAACATCTTAGCCATATTTGCTAGATATCTTTGGCACTAAAACATGGAGATTGGAAGAGCTACTATGGTATTTTTTTTTCTTTGAAATGCTGTTTTTTTTAGATTAAGTGGACAATGAGACATAGCAAGACAATAGAAATTATATATTCAATGCTTTTCATTCATCAACATCAAATTACTAATTTTGTGTTTTGTTGTGCTTCAGTTTACCTAGTCAGTAAGCTTTGGCAATCTTGCCATGGATCTAGGTAGAGTATTCCGATTATGATTCGCAATCATAAATTCATGCTTTCAGGAAGAGACAAACACAGAAGTGAAAAGTCAGAACCCCCTGCAGGCAGTAAAATGAGTCCTATTGGAAGCAGGCACTCATTTTGTGGAAGTCTACAGAATTGTGAAAAAATGAAGAATAAGGTTAATTGTTTAAATACCACTACTGAGAAAACAAATCTATGTATAGTATCAGAATGTTATTCAATACAAGAAAATTTCCCAAGTATCTCCACCCCCTGCAATTTAATTTAGGTATTGTAAAAAGAGAATCTGAAGTTTTGTAAGAAATAACACATTTCCATCCAAATTTAGGAGGAAACTATGATAACAATAATATTCCCTTTTTAAAAAGTTTTCTTTTGAAAGATTAGACTTAGGCAAGTTGACATTATATCATGTCCCTAAATACATCAAATACTTTTTTAAACTGGTCAGCTCATTTCCGCACAGGTTCTTAAGATGTGGAAAAAACACTGGACTTTGCAGTTGACTCCATTGAGGATCGTTGTAAAATTGTGCTTTGTCCTTATGAACTTAAAAAGGTAGAAGATCTGTTTTGTTTTTCTAAAGAGATTTACTAAAATTTCATTTCAGAACATGAGTATGTTTTATTTACAACTATTAGTCCTCAATAGTAAGTAAATAATTATTAATCTGTGGTTTTACTCAGCTTCATCCAAAGAATTATACATCAATGATATTTGTTCTCCACACCAAATAAGTTGTATTTTACTTACAAAGAGCTGATTTCATGGATTTTGGTTTTTTGATAGACTTATTATAAATTTGAATATTTGAAATATGATGTTGATTCGGTTCTTCTGGAAAAACCAATGAGCTTTCATTGATGAGGAGCAATTGCTGTGATAGCCTCCCTAATGGACACATTTCTGCTGAATTAAAAGGCGCCTTCTGTTCAAAGTAATATATGCATTTATCAAATCCAAGAAAATGTTTATTTTTCAAAATGCTATCACTTATTTTTAAAATGCAGTTACCATAACAGTTAAATCTTCTTAAAGTGCATTGATTTGAATCTGTTTTCTTTCTATTTTATATCTTTGCATTGGGTGACTTCTCTCACTCACTTTATAACTTCACTATGTTGAAGTAAATGGACATGCATTTTATATCACCTTTTTAATCTCAATTATGCTCAGTGTATTATTATCAATAAAGTATAAAATGAAAAAAACAAATCTTTGAGTCATAATATTTTACCCCCTTAAAAACTAATATCCTTAAATCAAGATTAATAATCTTACAATCATTCAGTAATCTTACCTTCTGACCGTGGGAGGAAGAACAGAGCAGGTGGAGAGAGAGCGAGCTCTCTGTAGAACTTTCGAGGTGCTGGTCTTGAGCTCTGTACTCCTGCACCAAAGCTCACTGCTTTTATATACTCTCCAGTGTTTAGCCTCACAGATATTACGCTGACAATATAAATTTCTCATCTGTAAATAATGGGTTTTTGTTACGAACGATTTCACTCGCCCACTCACTTTGCTCATCAGCATTCTTCGCTTACATTGGGTGGGACCTCAGAGATGAGGAAACTTTTTATTTACTCTGTCTTTTTTTTTTTTTTTTGATTGAGAATAGAAAGGGCAGTTTGGAAATTCACCTTTTATTCAGTCAACCATGAAAATCAGGTAAATACTCTAAAGTGAATTTTGATGCTGATGACAGAAAAAAAATGACATTGACACGTCAAACCCCACTTTGAGTAACACCTCATGTGATTCTTAACACGTCCTTCTGTTTGCTATCTAGTTATGATGAATTTTTCCGAATATACGTAATTCATCTACTAAACAATAAATCAGTCACTCAGAATACCTTAATGAAGAGTCTTCTTATCCCCACTATATGGAATTTACTTATATTATTTTGGTGGGGAATTTTAAAGAATATGAATTAAGACCCTATATTTCTTGGTGCAATAAATTGGAACAAGGCAGAAAAGATAAAGCAAAATCAGTATTAAAATCCAGGATAAGTGATGCTGTTAAGGCAAGATTTAGTATTTTTTTTCTTGTAATGGATATTAAAGGCTAATAAAATAAGAGATACACATCAGCATGACAAAACTGATGATGAGCACAGAAACAAATCATTGTATTCTTTATTGATAAGAAAGCTGGAGCCTAATTTGCAACAGTAAGGTTGGAGGAATGCTGTTGAGATGAGGTGAACACTGTCCTAATTCCTGAACTTTGTGATCTACCACTTAGGACTCGAGTGATCCATAGGATTTAGCAGGACTGAGTCTGTTCACTGTGGAGAAAGAAAAATGAAAAACAACTGAACAAATAGCATTGGGCAGTGTTTGTGTAATTAGATTTTCATCTCTCTGCTATCGACAAGCTGTGTGACCTGAGGTAAGTCATAGTCCCTTTTGCCTCAGCTTCCTGATTTGTAAAACGAGACAGTTGGCTAAATGACTCTTCTGAAATGAAAATCTGATTACATCTGATGACATCATTTCAACATTTCCCAACTAGATTCAATGTTCTAATACAATCAAGTGTGTGACAAAGCTGATGACGAGCACAGAAGTAAATCATTGAGGTAATTGGAGAGACATTCCCAGTAGCTTAAACTGTTAAATTTGTGGATTGGATGCTCTGTTGGATATAGCATATTTAAAGTCAACAGAGATAAATTCTATGTGAAACTGGGAGACTGAAGTAGAGCTTTTTTGTGTGTGTCGGTCACTATTGATGATAGAAAGTCTTGCTCTTCAAAGTTTGGCCCTTTGGCCCAAGTTGCAGCATAAACTGCGAGCTTACTAAAAATGCAGAATCTTTGGTCCAAACACAGACTTACTGAATAACAATTTGCATTTCACTAAGACTCCCAGGCAATTTGTATACCAATTAGAGTTTGAGAAGGTATGGCTTTACATAAAATATCCAGCTCATTTTCCTCACTTTCTCCCTGATACCTGCAATTTTGACCTGAGGACAGTTTTTTAGCACTACCAGCAGAGGGGGTGAGAGAGCAGAGAACGTGGCACACCTCACTGCCCTCTGCATTACAATTATAAATACAGTGAAGACATGAAAGTGTGGATTAGTTTAATATGTTATCCAATTGTTCTCGCTAGCCTCAATTCTCATAAGTATATTGGCTATATTTTATTGTTTGGCATTCCCTTTGCAATTTGAACAAATGTTTCTTTGCCAGCTTCTACCTGCCTGCCTGCCTGTCTGTCTCTTTACTTTCTAAATACTACCAATTTGGGGAGTGTCCTAAGAAAGCTCTTGGGATGATGTATTTAAAAACCATTACATGGTGGAGGATTATTGGTGCTTTGGTGGTGGGCGTTGTGTGAAAACAAACATTTATAGAGGTGTGAACCTATACACCTAAAACATACACAGTATTGAAAGCCAACATTACCTGAATAAACGATTATAATAAAGTAAAATCAAAATCAACAAGCAACTATAAACCAGGGACACACTACAGGGGGGAGAGAAGGAAGTAGGATCAAAACCAGGGTGGTGGGAATTGTATGGGGACTATAACCAAGATGAAAATGCATATATTGTGCAAAAATGATGTAACAAATATATAAAATAAAAATAAAAAATAAAAAATAAATTGCAATCATAAAATACAAAAACAAAAACAAAACACCTGACATCTCAGTCAATACAGCCTACCAATATCTACCTACAAAATGTGTTTCTTTCCCTCACTCCCACTTGCTTTCTAGTATTTCAGACGTGACTACCCCAAGTTCTTTTAGCAACTTCCTCTAGCTTCACCTCCAGTCCACCAACCCCTAATTCTTGGAGTTCCCCAACACCATTCTGATAAGCATTCTGAGAATGCAGAAACATTAAGAGAATTGCTATATAGAATACTGCTTCCTCTCTTGGAAGGGCAATGTAATAGGCAATGTATTGTCAGAAATTAAGACAAACATTAAGTGTAATTTGGACTTCTGGGTCTTCTTTCATTGACTGTCCCAACACAGCCTCCACTTGGTGTCATTGCACTTATTCAGGTCTTTAGACACAAGGCAGGAATAAGTATGGCCCTTTATATATAGAAATATTGTTTAAAAGGTTGTATGGAAGCAGGAATTTTCTGAGACAATTCCTTTCCCATCAGGCAGTATGGGGGTTCCTGGTAATGACAGGTGTGTTGCCATACAATAGCTGTTCTATGTCTTTCTGAAAGGTCAGTTTGACTTGGTATACATGATGTACCACATAGTTATCAAATGAGTTGAGTGCAAAAACTTACATTAAGTTTTAAGATAAAAAAGCTACTTATTCAAAGATTTCTTCCTTGCTTTATGATGCTTAGGATGGGGGACAATTCTCACAGACTGATGATCTGGGCCATTCCTTTGGGCCACATGCTTAGAAGGGTCCTATGTTTGACTTAATACTTCACTCTTATCCTGTTGAAATTCTTAATTCTATTTGAACATGACTTCAGGTTTTTGTCTTACATTGGTCACACAAATTATGTAACTGGTCCTACTTAGGACCTCACCTTAGAAAATCACTGGGTAATTTTTTTCAACTGTTCATGTTTTTCAACTGTTCATAACACTTACTTTGAAATGTTGGAGAATATAAAGATCCAAGTTCACGGTGCACTCTGGTGGCAAGACTGGACATGGGGGATTCTCTTATTGATGGGAGCATAGTATGTCACCACCCTTATGGGGGGCAATGTGGCAATATTATCAAAATTGCAAATAACGATAACCCTTCATCATATAAGGCTAAAGCACAATTCTGAAAATTTATCTCATGTGTATTTCTACATCTCTATGTGATGATGTGCTACAAGGTTCTTCACTGCCGCACTGTGTATATTAGTAACAGGTTGTAATCAATCCAGCAGTGTCTAGAAAAAGAACGAGGAAGTTCTTCATTTGCCAATATTGAAAGACTCCAAGATAATGCTGCTAGGTGAAAATAAGGAGTTGCATTGTAAATATATAGTAGACTACCTTTTGCATTAGAAGAGAGGGAGACAAATAAATGTTTATTTGCTCACAGCTGTGTGGAAGCAGACCCGAGAAATCAATAATATATACTTACCTGTAGGAGGCAGTAGGGAAGACAGAAACAAAACACTTCTCAATATATATTTGTTACACTGCTTGGAATTTTTTGCAATTTAATTATCTCTTTACAACAAAAATAAATGCGATTTAAAAGGCAGTGATAACAGTATAGTGACTTTGGGGGAAACGTTAAACTTTAAAGCTAAATATACAACTATCCTTTGACCTAGCAAATCCACTCTAGGTATTTTACCCAAGAGAAACGAAAGCATATGTCCACAAAATTGAGTTGTACAAAAATGACCAAAACAGCTTTGTTTACAATAGCTAAAAATTGAAAACAACCAAACTGTCCATCAACAAAGAGAAAAGATAAACTGTGGTCCTGAATACGTGCAGTAAAATACTACTCAGCAACAATAACAAGAAAGAACCAATAACTGATACTGGCAGCAAAGTGGATGAATTGCACAGATAATGCTGAGCAAAAAAAAAACTCTGGCACAAAAACCCGAAGTACTGTATGAATCCATTTATAAAAGTTCAAGAACAGGCAAAAATAAGGTTAAAAATCCCCAGTACTGTGGTTGCCTCTTGGAAGAGAAAGGGAGAGGACTATTTAGCAAGAAAGTTTGTGGAGAGATTTAAATACTATTATGAAAGAGGTTTGCTTACTCAGGTATGTCCCATTGTCCAAACAATCAGCTAAAATTTGTGATTTCACGTCACATAAATTTTAGCTAAAAGACAAAAATAGTGAAGAGGTGCAGTGTACAGGTATAACTAATACAAGTATGATGGAATCATGATTAACTGTTGTAATTAACTGATGAGTAAACAGGGTTCACTGTGTGATTCTGTTTACTTTACAGAAATGTTGGAAAATTTCCAAGCTAAAAAGTTAAACTGCTAATAGAATCAGCACCTTTTGAAGGTAGAGAGTGCGATCCTTCAGTTACTAACTACGAGCTGGCTGAAGTGAAAGAAGTTGGGAGACACAGAGCAGCTAGTCGGCACAGAGACAAGATGGCGGAGGCTGGGCCTGGGCTGAGGAAACTTAGCTGCAACAGAGCCACCATTTGGAGGTGATGGAATAATGATGAAGCGCTGCTCTTCTCAGTCTTTAAGATCTGTCTTGAGCGTGCGCCCTGCTCTGTAACCTAAGACTTCCTAGTGCATTTGACTAATTTTTGTTTCTTGGAGGTAATCCTCTCCATGTGCCATTCTCTTCCCAGGTTAGAACAGTTTTCTGCAAAAAAGCATCTTGTGAAAATGGGTGTAAGCCATCAAAAGGTTAAAAAATAATAATTCTATATTGCACACAAGAGAAAAGTTTATCTTGAGATTATTTTTAGTTTTGAAGGAAAAAAAGCGGTCGTTTCACAATAGTCTTGAAATTTGAAAAACTGAGTGCGTAGAATATCGAGTGTGATCATCAGATCCCCTATCCTCACTAAGCCTGATGTATTTGGTTCAGGGATGCAGGGGAATAAAGGAAAAACTTCCAGGGGAAGTTCTGAGTTTGCCAGAGGATGGGAGAAATATCCCTATGAGAGATACTGAAGAAGCGGTTCACGACCCATCCATCTGGGATGATTTCGAGGAAGCCTGGCAGGTGCGGAAGATTCAGTGAACACATCAGTGGACAGTCTTCCCGCCCTGAGGCTCTGAGACCCTGGAGATGTCCCCGCCACCAGTTTGAGCTGGAACTTTGCATGCCGTGATTTTATCTTTTGCTAGATTCCTGGTATAATGAGATGTTTAAAATTGTTCTAAGTTTCGGTTGTTATTTTTATTCATAAAGGGAACAAGAAAGAGAAAACAAAATCACATTTGTACAAAATAATCTTATCTCATAATTTATAAGCAGAATATATATTTATATGTATAAATACATATATATCATTGAATACATGTGTTATGCTTCTATTTTTTCGCATATTGTAGCTATAAAAAACAAACCATATGTCATTACATTTATCCAACCTCTTGCTCATCTGGAAAGACTTTTTTTCTTCAAGCTTCTAAGAGTCTTTAATGTGAACCAATTAAAACATTGCAATTTTTCAAAGGCGATGTAAAAGGAAGTAACTTCAGCCATTAGAAAATTTAAAAGTTGAAATCTGTATACTAAAAAAATGCAGAAAATGTAAAATGGAACTATAAACAGTTCTTCCTAGCATTATGCCTGTAATCAGATTTACCCCCTGCCTGAAACTCGCTCAGTGTGGTCAACTCATATTTTATCACATGTATTGTAAAGATATGCCCTGGTTTTTGGTGGTATTGAAATGCAATAAGCATAAAGTGGAGGATAATTTATAAAGCCCTTTAAGCATAAAGTGGAGGATAATTTATAAAGCCCTTTAGGCTAATATCCTATTTTTAAGTATTCAACTGCACTTTAATCCTATTACTGATAAATACGCCATGCTGTCAGAGGTAATAGAGTTTAATTAAAACTTTTTTTGAACAAGGTGTAGTTGATTTATCAAATGCCAAAATAATAGATACTTTACATATGGAGGGGTGTTTGGTCGCATGGTACTTGTTAATCACAACTGATTCACATTTGGTTTAGGCACTCGGGAGTATCTAGGTTTCAGATTTTGCTAGGAAGACATGTGGGGAGGGCAGGGGAGGAGGGGAGGGAGGAGGGGAGGGAGGAGGGGCAGGGGAGGAGGGCGGGAGGGGAGGAGGGGGCGGGAGGGGAGGCGAGATCTGGAGCACAGATCATAGCAGAGCAGCAGGCACAGAGAGAAGAGACCTTCTGCTGCTCCACATGCGCTCTAGCTCTCACGCCCCCTTATTGGGGCTAACTCCCACGCACCTTTGTGGGTAGCTCCCTGGCCGGGACTTGAACTCAGGTCGCAGCGGTGAGAGCGCTGAGACTATCCCCTAGGCCATCCTGGAGGCCCCGCCAGGGGCTTAGTTAAATGGAGCCTTTAACCTTTATTAAGAGGCTTCAGGAGAACTACTGACAGCTGCTTCTCCAGCAAGTCAGAAGAGACTACGGCTGCCCTTCCCTTCCCTCAGTGATCATCACTGTCTCCTCCTAGGGCCCGTGGGCGCTGAGGGAAGATGGCTTTCAGCGGCACCTCCATGTCTTCATCGGTGACAAGAGGAGGCAAAGTATGGGGATTTTTCAATTCTAAAACAAGTATCTTTCATTGATGAATCAGAAGAAAAACCTACACAGTTCAGAAAGTAATCAGGATTGTACTGATCCTGAAAGATTTCTTTTGTGATGATCATGTGTAAAATCAATATTTAGTAGAAGTTTCTAGAGATTTAAGTCCACAGACTTCTGATGTCCTCATGGAATAATGAATCCTCTTAGCGAGCTGAAGAGACTCAACAAAAACAAAGTAAATAATCCAGTCACAAAATGGGCAGAAGAGCCAAAAAGGAACTTCTCCAAAGAGGAAATGCCAATGACCAACAGGCACATGAAAAAATGCTCAGCACCACTTGTAATCAGGGAAAAGCAAATCAAAAGTACCATGAGACACTTAGTATTTGACTAAACATCTGGGTGAAAGTGTACTAATCATTCATTCCAGTGGTTAGCATGTAACACCAATCACTAGGTGATTGCTTTTTTGTATTTTTCAGTTAGAATTCATATAGAGAATTTTAGGCAACAGACTTAGAAGATAATTTGAATGGAATAAAACATATTTTTGCTGTTTTAGGCCAGATTTTTAAGCTTCCTGGATGAGCTAGCTCCTGGAAGTTAGAATTGACTATCATTTCTTGAATGGTTAATAAAGGCAAAGCACTCTGAATATATCATTTTCCAGTGCTCATCAGCCAATGCAAATTAGATATTTTGCCTCCATATTACAAATAACACAGGACCTTAGAACAGGCAACCAAGTTACTGATGGTCATAAGAGATGTGAATGTAGACAATGCTGCCTTTGTCAAGTGAGAGTATCCAAGTTGTCAGGGAAATGGAGACAAGATCTCCTGGCTTCCATGGAATCTGCTTTGACTGCTGACTAAATCCATTCATGCCTGCTAGATGGCTAAGATAGCAGGGCATCTGAAGATTAAATAATTGGCAATTCCAGTGCTTTTTAGTTCAGTTTTTATCGTTTAAGTGTATGAATCTGTGGTTTTTCTGAAGTTTACAGTGTTGTATAAGCATCATCACTAATTTTAGAACTTTTTCATCACTGCTAAAAGAAACCTTATATCTATTGCCTATTTCCCAGTTCTTGCTGGTCATCCATTTACATCTGGAAGTTTATGTATTTGTCTGTTGTCTACATTTCATATAAATGGAGTCACTCAGGATGCCTTTTTGTGTTTCACTTCTGTTACTTAGCATAATTATTCTTAAGTTTCATCATTGGTGTCATATGGATTAATACTTCATTCCTTTTTATGATTGAATAAAATAACATGAACATCCCTATCACTTTCCATTAGCCACTCATCAGTTGATGGACATTTGGGTTGTTTTCATTTGGGGGCTATAAAGAATAATGCTGCTGTGAATATTTGAGTATAAGTTTTTGTCTGAACTATTTTTAATTCCCTTAATACCTAGAAGGAGACTTGCTGAGCCCGATGATGACTCTATGTTTACCATTTGAAAAACTGTCAATCTGCTTTTCCAAGTGAATGTTGAGATTCTACGAATCAGATCCATGAGTTTGGGATATGTCACCTGATTGACTTTTCAAGCTTTCAAACACCTGCAGATTTCATTCCTGAGGAAAAAGTCAGAGATATTAAAAGAGCAAGTTATAGGAGTGGGACATGTCTTGGCAAACAAGAGAGCTCATCCTTATTGTTTTCTCTATAAAGACATGAAGACAGAACGGGAGTGTAAACACAGAAAGAGGCAGTATAAGGCTTGGTAGTTGAAAAAGTCCCTTTGGAAGAGCTGCTATAATGAGTGCAGATGAGCAGAAAGTTGAAAGAATAGAATTAATTCAGCAATCAGGCAAGGAAATTTCTGACATTTAAGAGGCTTAAGAGTTTGAGGACTTATGAGATGTTAGGTATGGATCAGTAATGACTGAAGGGGTGAATTCCATGGGTTTCCTCTCTTCTGCATCCAGAGGTATGGTGGTGTGACTGACAACTAGTAGAAATAGATATAACAAATTTTATTTTTTTTCTTTTCTTGAGCATGAAAATATCTCTTTAGCTGGCAATAAAGATAGATCAATATAAATATTTATAAAACATCCATAAGCCTAATTTCCTAGACTATATTCTTATATCAAAAACTAAGTCTGATTCTAGAAATGATTCCATAATACTTATAGATTCCTTAAACTAAGAATCAATACAAGTAAAATTTTAGAAAACAGATTTTTAAAAAATGCATTGAGATTAAATCCACATAAAATCAACTCTTTCAACGTGATTGGATGGCATTTGGTACATTCAGAATGTTGCACAATAATATTACTTCATTTAGTACCAAAACATTTCAATTGCTTCAAAATAAAACCTCATATCCATCAGGCAGTTTCTCTTCATTTCTTTCTCCCTTCAACCTCTGGCAACCATCAGTCTGCATTCTATCTATACAGATTCATCTATTCTAGATATTTCATAAAAATAGAATCATATGATAGCTTTTTGTACCTATCTAACTTCTTCCACTGAGTGTTTTTGAGGTTCATTCACATTTTAGCATGTATCAATATGTCATTCCTTTTTACAGCTGAATAATATTCCTTTACATCTATGTACCACAATTTCTTCATTCCTTCACCAATTGGTGGACATCTGGGTTGTTTTTACCCCTGGACTCTGAGGAATAATGTTGCTATGAACATGTCTATCCATGTATTTTTTTAAGAACCTTTTTCAGTTCTTTTGGGTATATAGTATATCTAGGAGTAGAATTTCTGGGTTATATAGTAATTTCACAATTAGCTTTTTTGAAGAGCTGCTAAACTGTTTCCCATAGAAGCTGAATCATTTTACTTTCAATTTTACTGAATCATTTTACTTTCAACAGTGTATGAAGATTCCAAATTTTCTACATCCTTATTATTATTTCTGTTCCTTTATAGTCATCATTGTAGGTGTAAAGTGTGGTTTTGATGTGTGTTTCCTTAATGACTAAGGCTGTAGAGAATCTTTTCATGTGTTTGCTGACCATTTGTTTATATTCTTTGGAGAAATGTCTATTCAAGTTTTTTCCCCATTTTCTAATTGTCTTGTTAAATTGCAAGAGTTCTTTATATATTCTAGATAATAAACCCTAAAAATAAATGTTAATATATGTACATATGTACATACATATGCATTTGTATATATAGCTAAATGTGTATAATATATATATACAAACTATGTAAATAATATATATGAAGTTCTTTTTCAAAATGAATAAAATTTTAATAAAAAACTTTATATTTTATTAAGTTATTATCAATTACAATAAAAGTTTCCATGAAGTGGATAAAGTTTCCACTTATTTTCTGGGAAATATGACAACAGGATGATTGGCTATTGCATTATTATTTATAAAGTTTATGACAAAATTTTTACACTTTGATAATGATAGATTCCTAATGGAAATGCCGTGCAAAGATTTGAAATCTAAGTCAAGGAACTAATACTGGAGTTTCCTATGCAGTGTTTCACTAGGCACAACTTTTCACCAAAGAGATTATTTGGACAATATTTTATGACTCTTAATTACTTGAAAAAGTAAATAATGAGAGTAGTCTGGGTTTGTTGTAAGTGCTTTGGCAACCTGGAGGCACATATCGTTTTTTTTTTTTTAAGCACACATAGTTAACTACTAACTAAAACAGAAAAGAGATACAAAATACTTATTTTGTATTTCACATTTCAATTCTGCTTTCTGAAAATTAGAGGAATAAAACTAAGGTTTATAATTTATGCTTTTATTTCTGGAGCCTCTGATCTGGCAGCCTGACCACTATTGGCAAGATGCACCTGATGCCAATTTGGGGGCTACTCTTGTGTGATATCTTTGAAGTTCACCCACACTGCCCCCCTCGATAGATCCATGGTCAAGGTGTGGAATTGGTTGCAGGGCAAGTGTGGAAAGACACAGTGGAGGGGTAACATCAGAAAGAAGACATTGAAAAGAAATACTGGTGAGTAGGAAAGAGGTGACAGGAAGATTGGGAAGCTAAATATCATATTGAGTCCACTTATAAGTTGGATTTACATATCGGATAACTTGTCTTCATACACAAAAATTTTCAGAGACACCATGAACAAGATGCAAATGCCATCGAAGTCACTGAGTTGTAGTGGAAGGCATAGACTCCATTTTGAAAGTCGCCCTACAAGTGTTTATTTAAGCAGTCACTTCATGACCACTTCATTAACTGCACATAATTCTAATAATGGCTGATAAGGGCCTGCTACTAGAGTTGTGTTTATTTATACTCTATGATGAAACTTTGATTAATGATGGCAATATGTAACAAAGCCCATCTGAAAAAGCATTCCACATCCTCTTTCTGGAATTCCTGAAAAAGGCAGGTAATGGGATTCTAGAATGTTCAACTCAGCCATGCTGAATGGTCAAATAGAACAAGATAATCTGAAATGTGAAACCTTTGGAAGACATATTTCCAAAGATTTGTTTTTTATGACTCCAAATGTGTAATCTGAATTTAAAGGAATTGACCAACTAGAATTTCAAGGGTTTATAACTCTTCTGATCAAGAAACAGAGACAGTATCTACCATGAGTATCCTTGCTTTGAAATGTGAAGGAAAGCATTAGTAAATGAAATATATTTATTAAGTAAAATATATTCTTAAAAATACTGGGTTTTAAAATGAAATCTGCTAGTGTAATCAATGGCACTTTAGAGATTTATCTGACTTTTTCTAGTCTGAACATTTTGTGCCAAACTCTCTCAATCTGCAATGTTCTGGTGATTCATCGAGAGGCAGCAAGTATCTGAGATAGGACAGGACAGTGGGCTGTGTTTTCTTTTCCTAACCCAAATTATTTTTGTTTCAAAGACCAACCTCTTTTAGATCTCTGGCTAAGATTCAGGTCCTCCCCAACCCATTCTCCTATGTACTATCTGCTGCTGGAAGATTTTTTTCTCTTTGTTTTCAGGGAGAAATAGCAAGTTCCTATTACTGTGTTGCAGAAAGGGCAAGATCTGCTTCCATCATGAAATCACACCTAATAATTTCAGTTTCATGTACTCTCCTGTCACAGAATATGGGAATATAGTCAACATATATTTATCGAGCTCCTCCTACATTATTCCAGAGACTGTCTATCTCTGAGTACAGAGAGGTAAAAGACAGAGAGAGCCATGGCTTATAAGGAGTTTATATGTGAATGGAGGGAAGAGGTAACAAGTACATACCTAAATAAAATAATTTTCATGCTAATAAGTGCTATCAACTAAACAAAATTAGAAAGGTGATTCGGAGTTTCTGGCCATGGTAGGAACAATATTAAATCCAGTGACCAGAGCAATTCTAAGGTAGTGACACCTGAGATTTGTTTTTTATGACTCCAAATGTGTAATCTGAATTTAAAGGAATTGACCAACTAGAATTTCAAGGGTTTATAACTCTTCTGATCAAGAAACAGAGACAGTATCTAGGACTTAGATGGCAAGGACATAGTCAGATGAAAATCCGAGCAAATCACTTTTCAGGTCTTGAAACAGAAATGTTTGCTCAGCACAAAGAAAGCAGAACAGAGATTAGTATGACTACATTTCGGGGGACTACAGGATTGGTGGGGACAAGGCCAGAGGCAAAGGCCTGTGTAGTACTTAGTGAGTTGTGTATGAAACTGGACAAATGACTGTCCTTGTTCTTCAACCAAACATTTCCCTGCAGTCTGTCTGCCCCAAAAAGTGTTTCCATCACTGCCATCCAGTATTTGTCTCTTCATATGGGTATTAAGATGCAGAAATGAATGACTCAGTTGAGATACAGTGCCAAGGATGAGGACCTGCTCAGGTAGTCATGATGCCAATATTGGTGATTCCTTAAAGGCCACCTTGTTTCAGAAAAAGATCAAGATTCACTTCTCAGTGAATGATGATTCTGATACACTAAATTCATTGACATGGGAAAGAGAGTCTTGGCTTCTGAGTCATATGTTCATTTATTGAGAGCTAATTTACTGAAAATGATAATTAAAAAGTGATTTATCCTATGCATCTAGCAGACCCCTACAAAATACTTACTGTATTCTAGACATAGTTTACTCTACAAATAGTAACTAATATAAACTTGAAATCACCCACATGAGGTAGAAACTATTAATTATGCCCACTTCACATAGAGTTCTCTCCTGTCCTTGGGGGATACATTCCAACACCCAGAGTGCATGCCCTGTAGATACCATATTCTTTTCGATGTATACACACCAATGATGGAGTTTGTTGTATTTATACAATAAGTAATAATAAAATAGGACAATTGTAACAAACACTGAAATAAAAGGCGTGAATGTTGTCTCTCTCAAAAAATACCTTATTGTAGGTAAGTATTTTCAGATGGTGGCTGGTGGTTGGAACTGGAACCAAGGAAGGAAAATGGTGACAAAGAGGGGCTGGTGTCTGAGGAAAGTGAAGTAGAAAGAACTTAGGAACTTATAACCAAGGCTGCATAACTAGTATGTTGCAAAACTGGAATTCAAATCAGTAGTCTGATTTTGGTATCTGTGCCATTACCTATTACATCTGCTGCCTCTAAAATGAGCTATAATGAACATATTATATTTAAAGGAATTGACATATGAGCTATGTTGTATTTCCTTTGAAAGAAAAGAATTTGTTATATTGCAAAATACCACTTTAATCTTCTGAAGAAAATGAGAGAGCAGCATTATTTCCTGTTAATATATAGAACATCTGCACATATTAAAGCGCCCTCCCTTTTTACTGTCATTTCTTAAAGTTGGAAAGTTAGCTCAGTGCCAGCAAGATAGAATCAAATTTTATGACTTCTTTGAAATTTTCTGTTCTGTCTCTGAATATCTGAAAGAATGTTTTAATATCAAACTGAAATCATGGGGACATGGATAGTTTTTTACCATACAAATAAATTTATGTAACTGTAAATGTCTCATTAAGACATTTATTTCAAAAGTTCACCTTTGTAACAGTGAAAAAAATTCCTGCCCCCAATAATTAATGGCTAACAAAGATGTTCCTGTCTTTGCTTGCCAATAACAAGAATGAAGAAACAAGATAAATTGTCTGACCACTGTGGCATGACCTGAGTCTGATTACCCTTCCTCATTCACAAGATACAGACTCTGTGTAGCCACAGAATGAAGGATGCAATGCAGTACCAAAGGGTATTTGTTAAAGCATATACTGTCAAAGCAATGCTTTAAATAAGTAGAGTAATAGCATTAATTAGAAGCCAGTAGAAGAAAATCATCCTGCTCTAGCTTGCCAAAGACAGTACCTGTGTGTCAAAAGAAGTGTTGATGACCAGCATGTTGCTATTGATGCCAGTAATTGGAGCAGGTGGTCACTAGAGACTTTTGCTGGGAGCCAGATCGTTCTCCCCATGAGTAAGACTGGTAAGGTCCAGGCACTTATTTCTCCCTGAATTAGAAATTATTCTACTTCAAATTGCCTAAGTACCTGTCCACAATACCAAGGAAGTGTATTAGCAGTTTTCCTTTCTCAAACTGAGAATGACTTGCTGTGTTCAAAATTTTTTGATGTTTTATTGAATAAACTCATATAGCTGCTTTATTGGATGAATTAAAGATATGTTAGCTTCCTTCTTTCGTCTTTATAAACAGCATAATTGAAAGCATTGTTTTGGTAGAATCTTCTCAGAAGACCACATAATCACCATTTAAATTAGCCCTAATTCATTTTACATTTGCTTATTTTACTGTTAACTTTCCCAGAACTGTATATTTTTTTTACAATTAGAACATCTGAATTTTAATTACATTACCATCAAGAAGCTCATTAAAGTCACTTAATTGGCAACATTTCCAAAAAAACCTTAGCTGGGTTTAATATATTTTAAAGAGTTACTGTCAAAGTATAATTTCACCATTACAAACAGCTTGGCAACAACATTTGCATAAAGATCTGTCAGTTTCTGAAAAATGCTCAAATGTTGGGAAAATCAGATTCGTTAAGTCGCCTTTACTGAAACAGTCTAGAAATGAAGAAATTGCCACATATATTCCTCTTTGTAACCCCTGCAGCACTTAGAACACTGCCATTCACAGCATAGGTATTCAAAAAATCTTCCTTGAATGAAATAAATTATACATTTATTTTGGGGTAGATTTAAAAATATTTTCAGCCTCAAAAAAAGTTTCCTCATTTGTGTTAAATTTAACTAAATACTCATTTTCTTGCTGCTTCTTTCTCATTCACTGTAAGAAATATTAGATGGCTATTTATATTTTTGAAACCTTTTCAAATAGTTCTGGCTAGCTCGGAGGGCAGAATTTAAAATATTCCAAAAAAAAAATAGAGATTATTTTTAGGTGGTCTAATACTTTATGATTTCCCTCTTACAAAAACTATGATCCCATCTTGAGAGTACTGATCTCATTAGAATTCGCAGTGCAGTTAATTCTTTTCTCACCTTTATAAGATTGTCAGTGCCTGCCTATAGACACATATCTTGTATAACATAAATTTTTTTGAAGGTCCTGGTGACCAACAGTACCAACAGTATAAAGCATTGAAATTGCATTTGTTTAATGAAAGAATGAAAATCTCAAGTTTATGAAATATGAAGAATGATACCTTGCAGCATTGATTAGGCTGCTGGGATACTCCCTCTCCATGTCTCAAATGCAAGAATGAAATGTGGTAAAGGATATTTTCCATTACAATCTAGTTTCATACAAATAGGCAAGGTAAGATGTTTTTAAAACATTCCTTTTAGTTTGATATTTCTAATGAAATATCTCCCTTTTGTACTCCATGCACCTTGTATCTTCTAATCAAAAGAAAAATCTAGTAAAATTTTACAAAAACATGAAATAAAAAAAATTTTCTTTGAGTTGTTATCTTGCTCTCCACTATGCCCTCAAAGTCTTGCACCATGCCTGATATATACTCAATAAATGTTCCTTGGATGAATGAATGAATGAATGAATGAATGAACACATGCTGACAGTCCTGAGGAAGACCAGGCTGATCCTACAGGAGGTGGTCAGGAAGGCCCCATCAGCGATAAAGAGTTCCCTGAACACACAGTTATTCATTCACCGACTGGTAAGCTTCTACCATATATGCTTCGAGACACAGGCTATTAAGATCACGCTGGGAGAGTACTATGCACTAGTACTTTCTGTGGGGAAGGAAATGTTCTACATCTAATAAACAATATTATATGTAAACAATAGAAAATCACTGGAGGTTTCTGTATGGGAAAATGACCCAGTTAGATTTGTCTTTGATGTTTCCTCTATGGCAGTGGGAATAAAGGCCTGAGACTGGAGACATCTTATTGAAAGTTGGTATTAGTTGATATTTTCCACAAAGGTAGAAAATAAGTGGAGTAACAAGATTTTCTTATTACTTGTAATTGTCCTTGATAGAATATTAGGTAATGAGTGTTGGTTAGTCTTCTTTTCTTAGTTGGAAAGAATGATGAAAAATAAGAGGAAATTTCTTGGACTTGCTTCAGAGGCTACTCCATGAGAATAGAATGGGAAGGTCGGAGCTGCTTTTTCTCTGACTCTCCAGGCATCTGTGTTGACCTGAAAGTGGAGAGGAGGTCTTGTGGCCAGTGTTGAAGCTGAGAGTTTTGTCCATGCTCCCTGAATGCTGCAAAACACCCTTCCTTGATAAATGAGGGGGGTTATGTGGCCTCAGGGTGAGGCAAATTTTCAGATAGCAGTGAATGCTGGACTGAGAAATACCTAAAGATTCTGGAGGAGTCTGTGATCTATGATCTTTGAGGCCCCTTCCTGATTCAGTGACTGGTTCTTCTGCTATAGATTGTGAGAGAGGGCATGAGGGTCTTCTATCGGCAACTAGGAAGAGTCAAGTTAGGGATGGCCAGAAGTCACCCAGGGCAATGCAGTGCTGGCAACCGTGTCAACAAATTGTCCCCTAGACTATGACTTCATAGTTCCACTTTTTAGCCAAGAATTAGCTTCTGGTAACCCGGTATGGATCTTTTTTAATTCTGTGGCAATTGCAGAGATGGCAATTTGCCATGCATTTCTAATTAATGGGCACATTTACTGGCAGAGCATTGCATTTGGGGTGGGAGGCATTATGGTTTTTCCTTTTCAAAATGAACTCCATAATATAAAACTAAAACACAAGAAAAACCTCGGAACATTTTTCCTCTCCAGCTGTTGATATTCAATTTTATCTGATTTTCTGTTCAGTTTGGTGAAGGTGATTACCATTATTAATTCTAAAAAGGATATGAAATAGAAACATTTCTAAATTTGAAGCATTTCTTAAATGGAAACTGAATTCAAAATTCTGACTTCATTCTTATCTAACGTTTTTTGGCAATGTTGAAGAAATCTGGGAGAAATTTAGTAAACATTTCTTGGAGGGACAACACAGAGCACAAACATCAGGAAGCCTTTGCAAAATGCAACACAGACACATGATTTCTGAACAAGGCTTTGCATTCTATGAACCACTGGCCGGTGTTCTATTTACAAAAGTCCAAAACTGCTTCTGGGTTCTTCTCCTCCATGGCTACCCTAAAATCACGCATGCATTTGCCTAACATGAGCACTTCTTCTACAATAGAGACTGGAACATGAAACCAGCACAGACAGAATAACAGCACTTTAACTTCTGACTTTATTTTTTGCCCCTCAAATGAACCGGCAATAAAACACTGTGTCCCAAACGAACAGCCTGACTTGCTTTTTCTCCTTTTTTTCAGAGTACCAGGAAATGTAAACAATATTTAGGTAGAACTTCTGAGTCCTCCTAATTTTTTTGTCAGCGTTTAGAACAAAATTCATTTATCTGTTTACACCAACATTGAACAGCATAAAGAGTAAAACAAGACATTTATACGAAGTGTTCAGATTGTGATACAGGCTGTGTCAGCATTGTTTTTAGTCTGACAAAGAAAAACATTGCTTCAGGAAGTGGGTCATGTGGGTGTATAAGTGCTTCGTGGACAGGCCGGGGAGGCCGTGGTTCTGGTCTGAGTACCACTGAAAGACAAACAGAAGAGAACTCTTTTATTCCCGCAGCCAGAAAATTTAGTTCTGACTTCTTCATGCTCTCAGGACCTGAGAATTATTTCTGCTGTTATTGGGAACTTCTACCTGAGAACACTTGAATAAATTAAATCGTTTACACGGAAACATTCAGAGCAGGGTGACTGAGAGACCTTTTCTTAACCTTCACCACTGTTTCATATTCTTCCAACTTGTATTTTTCTATCTCTGTGGCTGAGATCACAGCGGCCAGCATCCTGGGGGAGCGGGAGGCAGGCACGATTTCCTGAGCTGGTGTACTGGGCGTGTTATTTGGCTTCTTTGGAGCTTGGTTTCACTTGAAAAACCGAGAGGGTTGGATTTGATTTTCCCTAAGGCTCCTTCTGGCTCGAACGTTCTATGAGGCTTTTAGCCTCTGAATCTAATTCCTTTCTGTTACAGAAAATCCGAAATATATATAACCATAAACACCCTTTATGGGAGTTAAAAATAGGTTCGTACCAAAAAAAACCCCGGAAGATGTTATTACAATTTTAATGTTATTGTTGGAGAGATGCTATTAAGGTTAATGTTTTCACTGTGTAAAGGGGGGCTAGTGGTCATGATATAATGCTATATCCTTATAAGTTAAATTTACTTTTGGGGTCACAGTAAAGGACAGAATTTACCTCACCCTGGTAAATTATTTTTAAAAACACACTTCTAAAAGATGAGGGTTTCCTTTTTTGGGTTCTTGTTCAACATAAGCAAGTGAGGGAGAATTTATGCTCCCTGAGGAGGGGAAAAGGTGTCTCCCTTGCCTTGGCTTTCGCCTTATTTTTTTGTTTGTTTTTATTTCTCATTCCTCGCGCAACCTGGATTTTATAGCTAGCTCATTCATTCATTCATTCTTTCAGTAAAAATATGAGCTTCTGTGATGGTCCAGGCATGTGCCAAGCGCTGAGAACACATAGACAATGTCCAAGTGGAGCTGCATGGCTTCAGGGAGCCTCTGAAGTCTCTGATAATATTTTGCAATTGCTCATATACAAAATCTTCTAGATGCTCTGGGACTCCCAGATTTTGCTGGGACTGTAAACACATAGCTACACTTATGTAAACTGGATCACAGAACTATTGGATGCTTGAGATAGAAGGTCTTCTAATCTCGTGGTCACCTTTATATTATCTATGACTCAGCTGGGATCCACAGAGGTGACATGGCTTGCCTGATGTTTTTCTGCAAGTTAATGAATGATCCAAAATCCATTTGAATATGTTCCGCCTAGTCTAGATCAGGTTTTAGTAAAAAATAAATAAATAAATAGAAATAAGATCCCTCCTTTTGGCTTAGGGGTGTAAGGCCATGAACATGTGTAAAAAGAAATTATGTACCATTGCCTGGAAATCCACTTGTGCGTTAACCAGTGCTTTAGCAATCTGTGCTGAGTTTTGAAAGTGCACATTATCTGCAACAAAGAGAGAGAGTTAAAGTGCTGCTAAATACCAGAAAGCATAGAGTGACAATGTACTGCCTGGAAATGAACACCAACTATTATCTAGTCATGCAGTTGACATTGTCAGCAGTGGGTACTCACACTCATTTATGGAAATGTCCCTGACTTTTAGGTACTGACCCTGAGCATAGGCATAGGAGGATGCTTAATGTTTCTTAAACAAAGTGATGCTGGCTCAGTATTTTTATGTGTAAGAGTCTTGCTTAAACCTCACCATCTGCTGTTCCGTGGATGAGAAGATAGTCTACATTTCTGAAATATTCTGCTCTTGCCATCACAGTTGAATTCTGGAAAAGAGGAAAAATTAACATTTTAGTTGCTGCAAGTTCTAATAGAAAACTAGCTAAATCATTGTGCAATGGACTTAGCACCAATACTGAAATTATGTATTGCTTTGGTTGATAAATATTTAAGAGTCAGAGCAACACATTTTCATCATCATTTGCATTACTTCCATCTGATTCTTAGTTTGAAAAACTGAAAGTTTATGTGTCATATGTTACATATGAGTGAGACCTTAGGCATAAATGATGCCCGCTCAAGCTGTGTAGGGGCTGGGGATGGGGATGGGGAGGTGGATGAGGAAAAGGGAGTTGGGGAGAGAAAGAATAGAATCCAAAAGGAGTAGTAAATTCCTTTCTAGTGAGGTGTTTTGCAGCTAACAAAAGATCACCAGATTTGCTTAGGGACCCAGTAAAAGTGTAAACTCTGAATGACGGCTTTAAATTATTTAGCACATTTGAAAAGTGCTTTTCACTAATGGCCTAAATAAAACAGAAAGTGCTTACTTTATAGTGCTCCAGATTATCGTCCTTTGTTGGAAGACCCATGAATCTTTCCGTGTAGATAGATGCTATGCAATAAATAAAAATATGCTGTTTGCATGTAATATGTGCCATTTCATTAACCAACAGAATCCCTAGTTAGGTGACCCCCACCCCCCAACACTCTCCCATGTGGAGAGGAAGCTTTTTACGTTTTTGTAATGCTCCACTAAAGTCATCTGCTCTGCAATTTGCCTCAATAAGACTAAAGAAGAAGAAGAAGAGATTATAAAAATGGGAGAATCTATCATTAGAAAGGGCTGGTCTTAATTTTTTCACCTCTACCCAAATCCCTTCAATGATGGGGAGGTGTTTTGAAAGACTGACCCCATGGAATAACCTCTATGATTTTTAAAAGAAATCACAAATCCAGCCAGATCTACTACTTTAACTGGTGCTTTAATGACTAGATGGGATGGGAATATGTCCCCCAAATCATCCTCTCCCAAAACATAGACACACACACACACACACACACACACTCTTTATATAAGTGGCAGTTTTCTCGTTTCTACCCCACCACAAGGAAGAGATTCTGATGAAAGCTAATTTTTGTATAATCAGTAGGGTTAGTTCCAAATCATCATCCTGCATTGATATTAATAATAGTAATAGGCACACACAGGAGGTTTCCTTCTTGAACATATATTTTTGTTACTCTGACTTCTAGAGTCATGGAGCTGGCAGCTGCAAACAATGGTGTGGAGGTGAATTGCTTGGACCTGATTTAACTTTGTATAAAATGTTCTTAAAAGTCAGCATGCTGCCACTATGTGTCAACAGAATTTGCTCTGATTTTATATATTTGGTTCAGCAGGGGGGCACACAGTTTCTGGGTGAGAATAAGCAATAACGGATTTTGGAAGCGTCCTTCCTCACTCTTAAGATTTCTTTGTTACAACACAATTATAATGAATCATTGTAAACAACCCCATTTATAGATTATCTTTTCCCCAGTGATGCTTGGGTGAATTTTACTGCATATTTGTTTCCCCAAGCACCTCAAATATAAAGTAATTATGTGTTAAATGTTTTCCCAGCAACATTTATGAAATGTTTCCATACCGTAATATTCCCAGTTGGAGACCGGAGCCACCGCTATGCCACATTTGAAAAGACCTGTTCCCGATGCAAGGGCCAGGGATGAAACGTACCCTCCATAAGACTGCAGAGACATGTTAGGAGTCAGTCCCAGGTTTGCTTTCAAAGACTCTATATTTTTATAACAACACTATATGCTCATAATAGATGCTGGGGGGAGCTGGAGGTATGGGTAGGGTTAATTAAATATCTGCCTGCATCCTTGGCACCCACCAGACATAACACTAATTTCACCACCAGAAAATTATAAATCCTTGGTGTGCTGGTCAGAACATAGTAGGGGTGGTGAAAGAGACAGATATAATTGCAAATTTCTGTGAAAATTTCTTGTTTTCCTGTTTATTTTTCTCAACAAGGATCTTGCTAGAGCAAAATTAAAATTTTACTTGAAATAAATGCACAAAACAGGAGACGATTCCCAAAATGTAAATGCAAGGTATTTCCCATGGTTTGCAAAAGTCCTGTGAGGCAGAACTTGTATCTGTTATTTATTTATTTTCATGACAGAACAGCAAGGGAAAGACATAAGAAACATAACAACCTCTTAACTTAAGACAGGACAGAATTTGTGTACAATGTAGTACTACATGTTCTGTTTTGAGCATTTCTGACATAGCAGCTCAAAGGAGGAAAGCTGCTGGTGTCTTTAAAAACCTACATTTCCTCTCACAAATTAATGGAAAAACAAAGAAATGCAAAAGGGGATAGAAATTTCAGAGTCCGGAGTAGAGTTGGCGATCATCAATTTTCTTTCCCAAGAAATAGAGAGGTGGTTCAGAATAGTGCCCTAGTAGCAGAAAGAGATATGTTTTCCCACATCGCTTGGGGATTTGATTCCTAAAAACGAAGAAATGAACAGAGCAAATAAAACAAGCTCTCCCCCCTGGAAGACAAATTAGGTCTGTGTAAACATGCTGAGAGAGATACTTCTTGTGAAACATGGACCCCCCAAAATGGGTGTGTTAGATTAGGATGTGTCTCTCAGTGTTTATTCTTGCCCCTTGACAGTGTTTATTCTTGTTCCTACTAACCCTAGGGACAAGAGGTGACTCTACAATACAGAAGCCTTATTTCAAGGATCTTATTACCACAAACTTCTGGAGATCATTTTCCTTTGGTTTGGAGAGAGCATATCACTTTTGCTACTGAGAGTCAGTCTTTAAAGAGGGTAAAATAGAGGTGAGAGTGAGCTCTATAGAGCAAGAGCTACAAAGACAGACAGGGATGGCAGCAGGTCAGTGGCTGGGTCTATTCTTAATTTATGAAATCCAGGAAATACGGGATTAAGTTAAGTAAACAGTGAATTCAGCAGCTAAAGGAAGAATTCTCTAACTAGTTTACAGTTTTATTTTCCAGCTCTGGGGAATTTTATGGAGAAGCCTTGGCTACAAAACACAGAATAAAAGAGGAAGCTCCAGTTATACCATGGGCTTTTTTTTTTTTTTCTATTATACTTGGAGGAGAACTAAAGCATGCTTTACTAAGGGAAAAATAAGATTTTAAAAAAGAAGGAACACTTGAGCTTAAAAATCATTTTGGTAATGAAAATTCTAGCAGGTTCAAACTTTCACATATAAATTACAAATAATTTGTTTTGAAGAGTAGGTGAGCAACAACTATTACTGAAACAGGGGATCTTTATTTCCTTCTCCATTTTAGGTTCAAATGAGAAAAAAAAGTAGAAGTCCTGAGGAAAAATTGTCATTGTTAATGGCTTGATTGGAAATGTGTTCACTGCAAATAACAATGCTAGGTCCCTTCTCTCCTGGGTCCCAGATAAGAAAGTGCGTGAAAAAAGATTTGAAACTGAAAGCATCTGCTTATAGAAAAAAGGTTTTTAAACACTTCTGTTCCAAGTGTTACTAATCGTTCATCTGTATCTATTAGTGATTAGATGACAGTGCTGTGTCTAAATAAAACTTTCATGTTTTCAGGATGGAATACAAATCATCTCTAAAAGTCATAACAAACTACTGGAGCAGCCCCATGGCACATGAAGGGGCACTTGAGGTTCTTGGGCAGCTTAGAAAAGCTATTCCTATAGTAGACAGGATGAAGTGAGGGGGGGGGGAAATCAACTGGAGTTGACTTTTTTCTGCTGTCCCATGGGTGGGGCTCCAAGGCAAGAGTGGGTGGCTGCCGCAAGAAAGAACCCACGGAGCAGATTGGCCATGAGAATTCTAGAATTTTGTCCTTTGCACTTAGATGCCTTGCCATTTTGCTTAAATGAAGGATATCTTAAAAAACATTCTTAGAAGGGCACAGAATTTTGAGGGGTTTATGGAAAAGTCTTCTGTGAGCCATAATGCACACTGGAGTAGTTACCTATGGGCATCAATCATAACTGGCTGCCGTTTGTATGGCCAACGTGACCCCATTGGTGTCTGTGGTCCTGTCCAGTCCATGTCCTCATTCCCTCCTCACACACCCGCCTCCTCCTACCCCGTAGCTCCCGTGCTCACCTGATGCTCTTTCACCTTTCCAAGTGTGACCAAGATCAGGACTTTGCAAATGCTGCCACCCTCTATCTGGAATACTCTTTCCCCAGAAATGGACATCCCTCCCTTTTAAGACCCATTTAAGTCTCAATTCAAAACAAAATAAATTCCCTTCAAGGGAGCCTTCCCTGCCCTTCTAGATTAAAACTGCACTAACTCCACACCATCTAATTTCCTTGTTTTGATTTTTTCCATAGTGCTGACTTTTAACATCCTCTGCATTTTTCTTATTTATCTTGTTTATAGTCTTTCTCTCCAACTACTCCCAAATATATAGGGTAGAGATATTTGTCTGTCTTGTTAATGAATATATCCCCAGTGCTGTGACTATGACCCAGGACACAATAGGAATAAGATAAACATTGCTTATATAACTTTTCTACTAATTTATTGAACTCTGAAAATGATATGGTGAGGACATTATAACTGGCTTTATGGTGAGGAAACTGAAGCTCACTGTGAATTTAGAGTGGTTGGGGGTCAGCCAGCAGCAGCGCTGGGCCTCTCCCCCCCCCCACCCCGACTCTGCAACCCCTGCCATTTCCTCTCCCTCTCTCTATACTAGGGCAACCTCTGTGGGGAACTTGAAGTTCAGAGTGTAATATAATCTCATTAGAGGTGCATTTGTCCTACTTTTACATCGCTGATCACACATAGCAATTCAAATTGCTTATAATTAGTCACTGGAAGAGAAAGGAACTAAGATTAAATCATGAACTAATGCTTATTCAACACCACCTGGCTAGGCCTTAACAAAGCAAAGCCCATAAATGAGGTTGCTATTCTAATAATTTAGGCAAAACCCCTGCTGCTCTTCAATTGTCAGAATAATTTCTTCAGTTTTCTTCCCATAAACCAGGACTTTGTGACCTCAATATTGGTAACATTTGGGGATGGATTCTTCCTTTTTTGTGGAGGGCTGTCCTGTGCACTCTGAGTGGTTCTCTAATCTGTTCACCAGATACCAATAACACCTCCCCAGCGGTGATGATCAAATACATCTCCAGACATTTGTCCTCTACGGAGCAAAACTGCCCAGCAAGATGCATTGTCATAGTGGTGACTTGGATATAGGGTTGGGAACATAACAGGTATTTATGAACCAGCTAAAAACAAAGCCACTGGACTTTTGGTTTGTGTGAACCAGGAAAATAAAAGGGTGCGATCAAAATGTCCCTTTCCCCTTCTTGATCTGGATAATGGAGGGAAATGTATGATTTGTAAATTATTGGCCATTTAACTAAAAAAAAAGCATGGTTAGATATGGTGTTTTTCTCAGATCACTAAAGGTCTAACACTTCACGGTAATAGATTTTCTTTTCTGACACTGAAAAAAGTAATAACTAAATAACCCTCAGGGTCATTATCAATGTTTTCCTCTTTCCTATCTCCACTTCCCCACAGGTTGCTCCTTATTTGACTATAAAAGAACACTCAGAGCTATGAGCTTTCCCCTCCTGCTTCACTGCCTAATCCCAGGCCCGTGGCATTTATGGCTAGTATCACTCCTCATCTAACCCTTTGGTCCACCCCCTCTCTCACCTCAGGCCACCTTTTTATCTGCAATTAGAACTGTATTTCCAAGACACCAACACCACTCCCTATTGATTTCAAGAGCACTTTTCAAAGAGGTGTCCATTGGATGGAGTATTTTTGATAAAACTGCATTAAAATTAACCTGGATTCTTTATTATTCCTCTGTAGAACTGATATGTACTTTTATATAGAATTAGGATTTGCTAAAATATTAACCCACAGAACCTTTATATTCCTGAAAAATCTTATAGTACTAAGGAGACACTTATGGGGGAGTATTAATTTCTAGGATAAAATTCAGTTTAAACAACATAATAGATATGTGACATGATCAAGTATTGTGCTAATCATCTGAGGAAAAAAAGAAAAAAAGATAAAGTTCATTCCCCTGATGAGCTTATGTTCTCGCAGGAGAAACCGATAGATAAAACGTGCCCTGTAAGAGCATTATAAAGACTTATTGGAACATGCAGAAAGTTATATCAGAGTTGGGTCTCAAAGAACAGGTGTGAGTTTTCCACTTTCTAGTAAGGAAGAGATGCGGATGAGAGAAAGAAGATGGATATTGCAGGTGCAGGGAACAGGATTTATAAAATTAAGGGAATAAAGAAGCACAGATATAAGTCAAATTATTCATAAAGTGTGGGCAGAAGTGGAGAGAGATGAGAGTAGAAAAGCAGGTTGGAGGCAAACCGCCCAGAGCTTTGCATGCAGAAATATATTTGGGTATTAGGTTGAAGCCAATGTAGCCCTAGAAAATATATAAGCAAAATAGCAGGATGGTAATTGTTGTGTTTTGGGACAATAACTTGGTTAGCAAAATTGAAACTTGTGAGGTGAAAGCAGGGCTACCAGTTGAATACAGTTGAACACGTCAACTGGTGCCATTCAACCTATGACTGAGGAGCCAATAGAATAATTGCCCCTTGGGGTCTTGAGCACTAAATCAGAATCTCTGCTGGGGGGACCTGAAAGCCAAGTTTTAACAAGTTTTTCAGGTGATGTTTATGTAAACTAAAGTTTGAGAAGCTTTGGTCTAAATTACATAGAAGAACCTCAAACTAATACAACATTAGTGGGAATGAGGAAAACAGATTAAGACATGTGATTGCAGAACTGCAACAGAATTTACTCACCAACACAATGTTAGAGTCAGGGAATGGGGGAATTGAAATTAGCCCTGATTTGGGTGACTAGGTATGTAGTGAGATCCTCAACAAAGATGAGGCTATATTTAAAGTAGACAATAACTAATTTAGCTTGGGCAAGTTAAGGTTGAGATCTCCATGGGACACATGGGAAAAAGAATCAGCAGGTACTTGAAATATGGGGCTCAGAAGAGAAGTAGGGGCTAATGGCAGGGATGTGGCAGTCATCATCATCTTTGAAATCATATAGGTTTCCTCAAGGAAGTGAAGAACAATGAGCATGAAGGCCGGAGAATTGCCTACACTTAAAGTATGAATGGAGTATAATGATCATAGATACATAGAAAGATAAGAAAAGATGTCACAGAGTCATGGATAAGACCTACTCTCCTTTATGTGACCCAAAAAACATATTACCTGGCTATCTACCTGTCCAGATTCCTTTCCTGTATCATCTTGACCATACACCTTAGACTTCTGACATTTCAGGCATTACTGGCCACTTCAGATTCTCCATGCGCACTAAGCTCTGTTACCTCAGCATGGGCTCATGTTGTCTTCACTCTGCCTGGACTGGCCTATTTGCCAATTTCTCAATCACCCCTTAGCTTTTTCAGCCAGAATTAACCACTCTCCTAGGTGTTGTCTACAAATTCCATTTCTTCCAACAATTGAAGCATTGCTGAGCAATTGCTTTTTGCTCTCTGTTTTCTACCCAAGAAAACCAGGGCTAGAACATGCCCCTCTTTTCATTCTCTAAAGAAGCTAGTATATGACTTATTTAAGATCCAATAAAAATTTTCTGCATTTATGAAAGGATGAATGAATCAATGATCAGATGGATGGATTAATAAATATGGATTGGCTTTTAACCAAAGAATGGTTAAAATGCCAAAAAATAAGCAGAATATTAAGGTATTTTTCCACCTTTGGGTCCTCCTATTGATTGAGGGGATGCTCAATATATCCATTGGCAGTCCATTTCTTTCTTCTTTTCTTGCACATACTCTCAAGATCGACCTCATAATCACCATCACATTGGAAAATATGTCATAAAGGGGACCTAATATTCTATTGCTTTCAGAAGCATTTGCACATATATAAGAATTTCTTAGGCTGATGTGGACATAGTTTTGGGTGAGGAATGGTCTCCTTAAATCTTTCCACTTAGATCTCTTAGACTAATACCCAGAATGTTCTGGAAATGAGATAAAATTGCTCACTCTATGGATGTTTCAAAGAATGCAGTAAAATATAATTCTTTTAAGAGAAATATTAATGACTACATGTAACTTTTCAGTTTGATATTTGACTCAAGGATTTCCTTTAGGAAACTTGATAAAAATATATGGTAGGAAAGGTCTTATAGTGAAATATTTCACTATAAAAATAACACATTTATTTCCACCCATTTGAAATGCATTCTGTTTAGATACTTAACATTTGATAGTTTTAAGAAGAACCAAATGGCTTGAAGCGACAACTTTCCACAAATTCACAATAGATCTTCATCTGGTCACTGAGCTGAGCGTTGTTGAGCCCAATCCTGCAGATTCCCATCAATATTGGGTTTCATTCCCTCCATCATGTGCAGGCCGCTCTCAGAGAAAACAGCCAAGAAAAACAACCCGAGCACGAACGGCTGCAAATTGACTTGCAAATGTACAAATTTAGACCAAAAAGTGAAACGGGGAAATCTTCTTTGAAGAGTAATTATCATAATTTATAATCAGAAAATTTAAATTCCTTCCAATATTTCTCTAAACTTTCCAGTGACTTCATTGCCCATGACTGAAAAGTTTTGTCACTCCCTTTTAATGTATATTTGAAAAACCTGCACAACTTTTCAAAATGGGAAATTATCTCCATGACCTACCACTAGGAAACTAAGTAATACTTCTCTCAAGTTAGAGCAAATGTATATTCAACATGGTGGAAGAACTTTTTTTACAAAAAAAGAAAATGTTGAGCACACCCAAGATATGACAGGGCTAGACTATATAGTAGGGAATTTAGAGTGTGAAATTTCCTATAAAACCAAATTTCAGTTTAGCCTTTCATAAAATGAAATACAAAATAAAAGCTACACATTAAAATTATAAAAGAAATTAAATCTCTGATGACTATGGCTCAGGTCAGATGTTATAATCTAGTACCAAAAATTAAGTAAAAACGTGTCAATTATGAGTTGATTTGTGATACAGAAAAGAAACTAAGTGATTGAAAAAAAGGAACAAGCACTTAAAGCCACCACTTTGAAGCCAGATTATCCAAATTGACTGTTTCCACTGACAGATTAAATTATGTTGCAACATTAACATTTCAAGAGAAACCTTATAAACGAACACTTTAGAAAATGATGATTGCTGAACTGAATAACAGGCGTAAAACATATAAAACAACTCACCCAGCCCCATATGGCTATTCTTTTTTCATCAATGAAACCCATTTCTATGAATTTTCTAAAGTAAAAGAAACAAATTTTTAGAATTTTAAGTGTGTACACATGACATTTACTTCATTACACAAGCATATTTAATCCAAAGATTTAATAGAAACGCTACATTTTCTTTGTTTAAACACATGCAGAAAAAGGCTGCATTTACAAATAATTAAAAGAATATTATCATGCTTGCTGCAAGGATCAAAGAATCCTCTAGACTCTACTGGACATCTTTTGAGCAGAACGTCCAGGGGCACAAGGCCTCGTAGCCTAACTATGTTGGGGGAGTAACTTGGGACTGAGAGAGGTCACCAGACAGGTTGGTAAAAACATAAGAAGTAAAACCCCCACAGCTATGAACAAATTTCCAAAACCCCAGCTTTGGGAAGAAGTTTTGTTGTTGGTGTTTTAAGTTTTGTTCATGTCTTAGACCTTGTTTGCTTAGGGGTTAATGTTAACCACCCTCTCATTTTCATCATATTTGAGAAATATTTTGTATTTCCTCTCTCGTTTCATACTAGGTACCCTCAATTTATTATAGCATGATAATTTTATGTTACATTTAGGATATGAAAATGATTCATTCAAACTCCATCACAGAAGAGTCCCCAATGGGAAACTCTATTGAAAATGAATCCTTAAGATTTAGACCTTCATGCTGAAGATCAACCTAAATAGACAGGGGCAGCCATCAGAAATGTGACTTGCAATATTGGTATGTGTTTTTTCTGGCTAATTTATACAATGTGCCCTAGAGAGCTGGTGTTCTAGAGCAATTTTGATTTATTTTGAAAGTGGTTTAACTGAACTTCAAGAAAATCTCAGAACACAGAAGCAGCGATATACAGAAGCAACTGGATGACTCACTGCAGAGGTCTGGATGCAATAGTGATGGGTAGGAGTGAGGTGAGACCAAAGGAGAGACAAACGTGACCCCAGAAAAATTACAATATTCTTGGTTTCCTTTCGCTCCATAACTGCCCTTTCTCATTTTCTGGAAGTAGGAGGGAGTGATTTTCATTAGTTAAATAGTGGTGTTCCTTAAAAAGGATTTCACAGCAATCATTTTGCTCATTGCATCGATTCAACATGCACGTTTCAGATGCACAGAGTAGTTGGGCAAGTGCCCGAGACAAACAGATGGGAAGAAGCCCCGTCAGTCACAGCTTACCCGACACTGATTCTGAGGGACACCAAGTTGTCTACAGGGAAGAAATGCAGTAGCAAAGGGAAAGTTGCTACCTGGGCGGATGCTGCTCAGGATAAAGCAGAGAAAATGTGTAGCAAACTGTGGCACTTTGGCAATTCTTCCATAAACTTCCAAAACCAAATAAAGAAGAGAAACTTCCCTTTCCTTGTAAAAAAAATCTTGTCACTAGGGCTTGAAGACAGTTCTGAGCCATAAAAATCAATCGTGATTTTATGATCTCCTACAAGCTAGCAATTACATCTGGGGTAAAAGTAAATAACAGGTGATACATCAGAACAGGAAATTCTTAACAACTCCCTTCCTAGGTTTATTCTGAAAGGATGACATTTACAGGAAATGATAGTGCAATAGTTAACATGGAAATAAAACATTAACACTTAATGTGGCAGGACTAGGTTAAAGGTTAGCTAGGTAATCTAGGAGCTTGTTGAGACCAACATGGCTGCATAAAATTTACCTCCAAGTTATGAAGCACTTTCAGAAGGTTGATTTACAGAAATACTGTTGATAATGTGGCTAAATCAACAATATGTTAGCAAGAAAGGATAAGTATGTTTTTTAACTTTGGAGACTGGAATGAACTTACCAGTCTTTCTCATAAAAATGGTACTAGAACAAAGGTCAGTTTAGAATCTTAGTGATCAATTAGTTTCTTATTTTGGAAATATCCTTATTGACACTCTAATAGTATGGCATGGTATTTTTTTACTGATTGAATTTGTCCATATCACTAACCCAGTTATATAAGATGGAAAAATTGTCAAAAAGGCCACATATACCCTGAATACACAAAGCTGGCCCCATAACTACTGAAGTTTTATAGGCCTCACATATGACCTTTTGCAAGAAGTCTGAAGAAAGCAGATCCCAGTTTCTCTTATGCTTTTGTCCTTGCCAGCATGTCCTGGTAAGAATTCTCTTTTTTATAGATAAGAGTTATAAGGTTATTTTACTTTTTTTTTTCTTTCCTGCTCTGCTTTGTTTGAATCTATTTATTGACCCTAACTAGCATTTTTTAAAAAAGATTTATTTATTTATACAAGAACCGGGGTACAGGCCAGCTGTGCGGGATGGTGAGAGGATTCACCAGAGACAGAGCGGGGAACAAAACAGGCAGGCTGATGAAATACACTGCTGAGGAGCATCAGGCAAGACAGGAGAGGTCTGCCACGCCATGTGGGTTGCCCCACGGCCTGGCGGGGATTGAACTGGTACTGCAGAGGCTGTGGACAGCTTCACAGCACTGCACTCAACCACCTGCACCACCAGGGAGGCCCCCCTAACTAGCATTTTTTTTTTTATTTCCAAATATGTTCATATGATTTTCTTTTGATATGTAGAAAATTTAGCTGGATTGTAGTTCATGAGATTCAAACGGACCAATTTCATTCTTGAGTGAAATTGGAGGGCTTCCATAGAGAGATTATAATCTCATTTCCCCAGGTAAAACATTTAGTGTCTGAGTACTAAAACACTCCTTAGGGAGACATGTTATTGAATTATTCCCAGGATGATCATTATAAATCTATCCTATCTAGCTTTTGTTTTCTTAAAACATCAGATTCCAAGGTTTTCCTATCACTTTTGCAGAATAACGGTTTGAAGCAAAGACCAGGGCAGTTTCAACCAGCATCTCCACCATTTCATACGGGCTTTGCATGGGTCACAAGTCTCTCCTTGTTCCTACTGGGCATGCCCAAAGATGTATACTTTAAGTGCTGTCTAATAGCAATGCTGTCCCTTCACAGGGCAGGTGACTTACTCACTTACAAAGATTGTTAGTGCATTGAAAGTAGAAATCGTAAGTCGCACCAGTTTATAGAGTATATTGCTATGGCATGTATAGACCTGTTGTTGGATGGCTGAGTAAATGAGTGAACATAATCCTGTTTTACAGCAGGAAGTCTTCAGATTCCATCCTAAAAGTGACTCAGAGAAGGTAAAGATAGCCAGTTACCACCTCTGGATCTATCTTCAAACCTAAATGCCAAAGACATTTAAGCTATAGTGAAAATTGGTAGTATTTGTGGCTTTGTGTCCTATATGTTGAACATGAGAAACAGCAGTTTGCATTAAGGTCTACACATGGGTTTCAGATTTAGATTTTCATTCCATCTAAGGAACATATTAAGAAGTTATATGCTCTGCTTTTAATTGTCTCATAAGTCTCTGTCCCTCTGTCAAGCAGAAGACTTTTCCAAACAAGTTTAGAGTGGAAAGGCCAAAAATATGGATCAGAAACCATGATTAATCCTCCTAGAAAGTAGATGTGAACACTGAATGTTATATTAAGAGTTATTTAATAATATTGAGTGTTATTTAATAATCAACACACTAGTTTTTCAGGTTTTATTTAAATAAACTATTTCTAATAGAATATTTTGTGTAAGTGTGCACATATTACTGTTCACAGGATGGAAAAAATGGAAAACATGTGGGTTATGATTACTTTTCTATTTTTAAAAATAATTACTTGTGAGTCAAAATTCTTCTGCTTTGATTACAGACAAAAATACAGAAAAGTGTCTGGGCCTAACTCCTAGCTGTTTAATACAATCTGTGCTGTATATACTACATTGAAATCAATAACTATTAGTGACATTAAGATGATAAAAGAAATCTACTAATGAATTTCTAAATTGGTCTTTGCTGCTAAAGAGTGTTAAAGCTTTGATTGTTTTGTGTGCATATGTGTCCATGACTGTGAATGTATTAGCCTATGTTAGCTTTTAGGTTTACAAACTATTTCCAACTTTACTTACTTACACTATGAATACAGAAACTCAACAACTATGAAGAAATCTCCAGAAGAACCTTGTATAGTATTTCCAAATAAGCAACAGATTAGGTGACTCTATTCTTTTTGTTTCAAAATAAGATAGTGGAGTCATCATAGATCGTGGTTGAGAATTAGTTGGGCAGAATTCAAATTATGAATCTTTGTTTAAATATTTCATAATGTAATTTCTATTATGGAAAATTATTTCTTTTTTGTTAAGTGATGGTAGGCAAACACTTTTACACTACCAGAGCCAAACTCACAGCTAGTTTAATCACAAATGAATTACTAACTTCTAAAAGCACATAGTACATCTATGTGGTAGGATTCACAATGCTTAAGCAAATTCAGGTGTTTTGTTTTCTGCAGACCAACATCAGTAACTTTGCATATTTTATTGCTTGGTTGTGAGTCATGTTAATAAATGAAAGGAGGACCTCTCTGGTGGTGCAGGGGTTAAAGTCTCAGTGCTTTGAAGCTATTGGCAGCCATTGAGGCATGAGTTCCATTCCCAACCAGGGAGCTAATCCACATGGCACAGCAGACCTCTCCTGTCCTGCCCACTGCTCCCCTCAGTGTATTTCAGTAGACCCCCTGTTCTGCTCCCTAGTTGGTCTCTGGTGAATCCTCTCACCCCACCCACCCCATGCCTTTGGCCTATACCCCAGTTCTTGTATGCATGAATAAATAAAATAAATCATAAATATATAAATGAAAGAATATTAAAAGAGGACATTTGTCATTTAACACTATAAATAATTTTCTATACATTTATTAGCTTTCTTCCTTGCATTATTTTTTTTCAAATTTGGATAAAAATATCCCCTTAAGATTGATAGTTTTAGACCAAGTTAGAAAAAGACAAAAAAATTTGAAGTCATTAAAAATGGAGAAACACAATAGTGACTGCGTGACCTTTGTTGGATGTTACTTGTGTTCGAAGGAGAAGGTGCTCACCTGACAGCTGTGATCTGGTCGTCAACTTCATACACACCCAGCTTTCGATACACCGCATACAGGAGTTTATCCCCTTGGAAAGCTGTTCCTCGGCCATCCACCAAGGCAACGACTATCCCTTCCTTACTTGCAAGGTAAGATATCCAACTAATAGTGAACACAGACCTTACACTCTGACTGCATGGACCACCATACCTAAAATTAAAAAAAAAAAAAATCTGATTCCTTTTAAAACTCAAATTCCCATCATGGCCAGGAATTTCCTTCCTGTTTCACAGTACATTTGTGTGATAATATTTCAATAACAATGGCATTAAAACTGGCTCATAATCAAGAACGGACCAGGCTTTTCCCAGAGGTTTGCTACAAGGAAGTTGTTTTGGGACACAATCTCTCCTATTCCCCAAAACGGATACATCTAGGGTTGGCATTTCAAGGAATATGTGTGGGTTTTTCGTCATTTCTGCCACCTGCCACTTGCTAAAAGCAGGCATAAGATATACTAAAAAAAATGCATGGTGTTTTAAGCAAATTGTGTGTAGGTCAGCACTGATTTTGGGTGTGATTCCACTAAATGTATTCCATTCCCTTATTTCATTTCTAACTCAATTACATAAGATGTTAAGATGATTTACAATATTTTTTTGGCTGTAATTTCTCTATCTCAAAGGTATTTTGACACATTCGGCAATTTGCCATATAAACGAAATTCAACACAGCAAATTCAAGCAAGTCCATCTAAAACCTCAAAACTTCCTCAATCTATTTTAAATAGCCATATTTTATTTACTCTGATTAGTTGAGGAATATATAAAAACAGCATCAATAGGAACTGTTACCAAGGAGAATGGTTCATTCTATCTCATAAATGTGTATTTAATCCAACATATTTTCAGTAAATAGTTTTTACACCAAAGAAAAATATTACATACACTTGAATTAGCAAGGGATACTTCTTTGATCTGTCAAATTGTGGAGGAAGAATCATCTTGTACCATAAAGCTTTAAAAAAAAAAAAGGAGGAAATTCTCATTCTACAATGCTCATAGAATATACACCACAAAATAAGTGCACATCTATTAAATTATTAGAAACTGAGAATATATTTAATTGATTCTTATTACATATTTTGTCTAATTTACAAATGACTAGAACTATTAAATAGTTATTTGTCCTAGAAACATGCATTCCAAAATTAAAATTAGGTAAGTTCTTTTTTTTTTAAATGTCAGTGTTAAAAAAAAAACTATGGAAAGTACAGGTTTAACCCTATTCACAAATATAGTAAAGATATTCATAAAATTATTTTAATGAAGATTCTGTCATTTTCTAGAATTTGGACTATACCATTTAACCCTCTATATTTTCAAAAGCAAGATAAGAGTTCAGATTCACGTCTATAAATGGGAAGTCTTTAAAAGAGCTTACTAATTTCATCCACTTCAAGTTTCTGAATTTCCTCTTTTGGCAGCTGGATATTTTTCAAGGCATTTTCCAATTCCTTGTTTTCCTCCAGGATTTTAATTTCTTTAAAAAAAGAAATGTTCATTTTTAATTAACAGCATTTCCATAAGAAAATTCCTCCTTAAAATTCCATAGGCCTGAAGCACCTGCAACTGTTTAGTAATTAAGGAGTTTCATATTAAAAAGCACATTTTAATCCAGCTTTTAAAGGAGGTATGACCTTATGAAGTACATCATTTTCTCCTCAACTTATTCTAAGGCACTTAAACACATTTAGAGCTGAATCACAGAAGCAACACTGTCTACTCAACCATTATGCCCCATCTATCACTTTGCTTTTTCAATACAAAGCCATGACCTGACAGAGTAGTTGACATCTCTTTTATCATGTACTAAAAAAAAAAGTAGTAGAAGTAAAATCTATATTTGTTGAAACCTCAAGTTTAGAATAATTGTATAGTTACAAAGCTTGTAAATTTTCAAACTGAAAAATGAAATATTGTTTCTGTGATTTTTATACCAATTTGCTTCTTAACCTTTTCCCATTATACTTGATTAATATAGGATGGTCTTTTCAGGTAAATTCCTACTATCCCCATTTCCTTTGAATCCTCTCTTTCAAGGTAGTCATTCATATATCTTATTAAAACAACCATATATACACACTATGATCTCTTTTTGTCTTTCTCCTTAAAAGATCTGAAATACTGCTGTTTATAATTGAGTCTGGTTATATTTTGCACTTTAATCTTTGAAACTGAACAAATCCATTGATCCCTGATGCTGCAGACTGGCGGTATATACAAATGGGCTCCTGGCAATAGAAGGTTTTTTGTCTTCTTTATAGTGAGTGGGGATTGACACAAGGCATCTTCTAGAGAAAACTTAGACTTTCATATGCTATGTGGAGTTTGTAGCTTTATATTTTGAAAGAGGATTTGGATGACATCTGAGTAATGGCGATTTCTACAAAAGACATCCTGTGGACTTCTTGTTTTGTGCCTTTTTAAAAGTTGTCCTTGAAGATAAGGAGCTGGAGGAGTACTTATAACTACACTAAGTTTGCCAAACCACTTTGCTTGTAACTCTCAGTTTTCATATACTCATGGCATTTTGCTCCAACATGTTATATTTAATCTTAGAACAAATATAGATGTTTTGGTATGAGTTGTATAAGATACATAATAAATTTTATTTTAACTTTGGATAATCCATCAGCAGAAAGACACTTGTGGTATCTTAAAATTTAACCCCCCCCAAAAAAAAATAAAACCACCAACACACAGTTCTAAAGACAATGAAGAGCTGGCTCCTGCATGGGAACTGTGGCTTCTGCATGGGAACTGCCATGGACCAAGGGAATGCTATGTGGCGTGAACACGCAGAGCGGCTGCCTCATTTATTTATTTCTTAATATCTGTATCATCTTGCCAACAGGTACTGAAAAGTGGAGATGATACATATGTGTTGCCTGTGTGCCTGGTTGGTTTGACTCCTTCCCCATTCTGTTTCTAGCTGTGGAAATTTTTTGATTCATAATGTACTGAAAATGCCAAATTTAATTTTTAATGACTCTACAGTGTAGGGCTGCATTTTTGTGGCTGGAAAGTGGGCCATTCCAACCCCATTTTGCAAAATGGAATTTCAGAGGGCTGTGAGCACAGGCGAGAGGGGGCAATTGGGCTTTTCTATGGGACTTTGCATTAAAAGTCTGTAACCTGGCAACGAGTGCAACATGCAGACTGTAACTTCTGCCTTCTTTTACTCCACATTGTATACACAGTTCCCAGTGTACTCAGTACCTAGTAATGTGTAGTGTGTGCTCTTTCTATGTTGTGGAGTCTTTATTATGATGGAATCAAATGGTATGAATGATGGGTCATATGTGAGATTTTTGTTTAAATCATTAAATATGATATATGAAGTATGGCATAGTTTTCATTAATCAAATTATGGGAAGAGTCTGTGAAAAAAGGTGATAAATGAGGTTATTCAATCATCTGGGTCATTTTAATGAGCGCATGTTGTAACCTAAGCAATTTGAGCCTCAACTAGGCCCTTGATGTCAAATGCCAACTCCTGTGGGTTTCCTTATCATCTGGTTCAAGTACTATTTGTTATTTTTCAAAGACCTTTGCAGCAAAATGAAGCCATTTCACTGTTTTCTGCAATGTCTACAAGTTTTTATATGATTGCACAGCAGTTTCTTCATTCTGTCTCATTGCAATGCAAACAATGAATCCCTTCACCTGCCTGTGGGCTCCACTTTTCCCAACTTCTTGGGGACTTCCTTTAGGTCTGCAACCACTATTGGTCTAATATCTTCCATTAGCATTTAACCACACTCTAATGTTTGCCATCTTTCAAAAACAAAATCAAATCTCTGTATCAGCTTCTACCCCTAAAATAGATAAAGTGTTGCAAAAAAAAATTTAGTTAAAAGAATGCAACCAATCAATCCTTTCAGCTACTTTTCCACTTTTTTCCTTTTCTGGTCAGTTCTTTGAAAATTCCATCTCTTTTTGCCTCAGCCTGGCTTCTGCTTTCACTGCTCCACTGAAACTGCTCTAAGATCATGTGAATCTCCCTCTTGATTCATCAACTTGGAGCAGGTCTCGCTTCACTCTCTTCAGCAGTTGACACAGATTTCTTGACATCCTCTCCTCCCCTGTTTCCCTGACACTGTAGTCTCAAAGTCATCTTTCTTTTGCCCCCTCTCAGTCTCCTGTATAAACAGATCTTTCTCTTTCTATTTCTCATGTTGATGTTTTATTCCAGGTTCACTCTTCCATTACTCCCAGAACTCTCATTTTCCCACTGTGCCATCTCATCCCCTCCCTTGACCTTAGTAACCAGGTATTCCATAGACAAGCACTGTGTGATTTCATGCATATGTGGTACATAGGGAAAACAATTAAGCAGATCACTTTTGGACTAACAGTGGTTCCAGAACAGAAGGGGACATGGGTAAGTCAGGAAAAAGGGGCCAATAGTATGGTGAAGGATAGAATTGGATTTTAGCAAAGAACTTAAAGCAATAGGTACACATGTTAATTCACAAAGATGCATCCCTGAAACTTATCTAATGATGTAATACACTGTAACTCAATTAAATAATATGCATATCCATAAAATAACTAAATGACAGCAACAGCAAACACAACAAAAACAAATTACTTCTTGAATATCATCTTCAGTCTAAACTGATTCTCGAACACCCAGATCCAAAACAACATCATACACTGAGACAGCTTCATTTGGACATCCCATCAGTACCCCAAACTCAACAACAACAACAAAAAATCATCATTTCTCCAAGAACATTTTCTCCCCAGTGAATCCTCTCTTTCAGTGAAAAGCATCCATATCAGTCTGCCTGATGAACCAGACATGCAAGCATCACCAATCCCTCCTTCATATTTATGAGTCTCCAGGGCAGTGTAGCCATAATTAAAGGAGACCACATGTCCTAACTACATACCAGATGATATGCCTGCCTCTGGGCTTTCATACTTTGTGTCTCTATCTTAAAACTTTGCCCTACTATATTGTAACAGCTCATGGACAGACAGTTTGCATCTCCATTTATCAATAGTCTTGAGGACACAGACCACGTCTAACCCAGTATCTGTTCATTTAAACAATCTAGTACCCAGCACAGCACCTGGCTACAGCGGTAGGTGTTCAAGAAACACTTGTTCAGTGAAGACTGTTTGCAGTAAATACAATTAAAAATGGGCAAAAAAAGCTACAAATAAGCAAAAAACAATATCTGGTCTAAAAAGCAACTCCCAAACTTACCTAGGTGTTTACTAGATATACAGATTCCCTAACCCAACCTAAGAACTACTGAATTTGACACTGAAGAATTTTATCATTGGGCAAGTTTATCATTGCAGGCTGGCATTCTAAAAGAACTGCATCTCACAAGTTAGCATATAAATGCATGTCATGTATATGAGAGTGCAAGGAGACTGACCTATTTTTGTAGATATTGGGTAAAGTAACAAAGCTTTGTAAGCAGTACTGAAATTGGTACCTGGCAGAAATATACATGAATAGTAAGAAAGAAAAGTTTGGAAAAAGGAAAGTTGATCTTTATTTGTAGTAATGATAAAATGAGCCTTTTATAGATGATTTCCATTAAAATACTTACAAATTTAAAAGTAGTAATGTTTTAAAAGTTCTCTCACTGAAGTTGAGATGAACCAAAATGAAAAGCACAATGTTATTCTTAAAAATATTTCATCATTAGACACAATGTTAAAAAAAAGCAACACTTCAAAATGAAGTAACTTCACAGTCCTGTTATTACAATGCCTCTCCTGTCCTGAGCTCCTGAAATGACTCTATTTTTTCTCATTACTTCACTTTCACCTACACTTGGACCATATTAAGGTGGCAGTCAAACTAATCCCAAAGCAGTGCCCTGACTTGTCACCAAAGCTGTCCAGGAACCATCACAGCGTAAGTGCTGAAGTCCCTTGCTGTCCCCAGTCTCCATCAACTTTAACTCTATAATGTTGTCTAACAGTAAATCAAAAGATTATGGACAACAGCAGGAAGTGGATCTAATTATACACTTGGATAACTGTTGAGAGCAAAAATGTTTATCTTTAAGCTGTGAACTACGTGGAACTAATATCACAAATACGAGATGGAGGAGGACACTCTAGGTAGCAACTGAAAATGGGAAGAGTCTCCTAATTTCAAGGCATTCATACATGGCAACCATGTGATGTAGCTGTTAAAACAAAAGAGCTAGCATGACAGTTACCCTTTGCTTTGAACTACAGTTGTGTCTGGAATTTTTCTTCAGCTTTCGGATGTTACTGAAAAATAGACATTCTTCTTTGGGAGGGAGTTGAGCTAAATACCTGAGTTTTCTTCTGTGCTTTTTATAAGGCTGATTGGGGAAGATAGGAGGAATCCCTCTGATAGGATTATCAGCCCATCTGCTTTATGCCAGGTTACTGCAAGTAATTATTACATTTCATACACTCCGCTTTGACTAAAAGACTAATAAGCTCCATGATAAGAGGATTCCATCACAGTTCCCCTTGTTTGTATAGGGATACTGTCTTGCTTCCTTTAATGTGGTGTCAGTAGGAGCTCATGATTTCTTTGTCAAAGGCAACAGCTTACAAGAGAAATTACCTTGATCTGTGCGGCCATCGTGAAGGGTAGAAATGGGGAGACCTGGGCCTGTAAGTGAGATCCAAACAAAAACATGGCTTACTTTAAAAATAACAGTCATTTTCAACAAGAATTGGTGATAGTTTATGACTAATATCAAGCTTAAGTATATCTTTTAGTTCTGCAACTACTTTCTTTCCCAGAGAGAAATACTACTTTTTTTTTTTTAAGATTTATTTATTTATACAAGCACTGGGTACAGTCAAAAGCGCAGGAGGGTGAGAGAATTCACCAGAGCCAGAGCGGGGAGCAGAGCAGGCAGAAGGACCGAGGTACACTGCTGAAGGGAGCAGCAGGCGGCAGGAGAGGTCTGTGTGCCATGTGGGACCCTCCTCCAGTGGCCGGGGAGCAGCCGGGGATCGAACCAGCGCTGCAGAGGCCGCGGGCAGCTTCGCAACCCAGCACTCAACTGCTGCGCCACCGGGGAGGCCCAAAATACCACTTTTTTAAAGTTGCATTTGAAGATCATACACAATCAGAAACCCAGCAAAGACAGGATATGAAAGCAGAGCTGCCTGTGCACTTTTCCAAGGAGGAACCTGACTAGTTAGGATGTCATTACTTGAATGACCCAGAAGCTGCAGTGCTAGGAGCCTCTGAGAAGATGTCCTGCTGGGTGGGCAGTTTTAGCTGTGTCTTTATTATCAAATAACCTTCACCAGGACCCAGGTTATATTTTCAATCTGGTTTTTAGTTGAATGTTCACTTTATTTTGGTGGGCAGAATCCAGCATTGTTTTATTTTGAATGCAATGAATACATGCAGAAGAAAGTTTACACGGAATGTGTTACCTGTTTATATATGTTATGGCAGGTAACATTCTCCAGGAAATATACCAGGAGGAGTTGTGTGGGGCAGAAATATTCCCATGGGCAAGGGAGGAAAGGGAAGAGCAGGCAGATCTCAGCCAGAGCCTCCCCAGGGGGAACTCTAAGCTGTCTAGGCTGGGATGCCATTGGTCACTCGATGTGGCCCCAGCATCCTGGGCAGCTGGCGAAGTAAATGATTCAGTCCTGAAAGGAGGATGTGGGGATCTGGGTAATATACCAGGGTCCACTACACATTTCAAAACAGAGCACAGTTTCTCCGTGTAGAACCTGGCCATTTTAACAAGATCTACAAATAATTTAACATTAGTTACCTACCATTTACTTGAACTATAGAATAAACTAATACCTGGAAATATACTTTTAAAGGCTACATTTGTTCAGACAGGCTCGAGTTAGAAGCAACAAACATGGGGATGGCATTCCTGAAGTTTCTATATGGAGGGAGCATCATTCAAGTAGAACCCTGAGCACCAAGGAAGCAGAGTCAGAATGATTTTTTTTATTTTTGGTGACTGCTGTGAAGAAGTAGAAGTAGCTCCTTCTTCCATCTTGTTCTCCCTGCATTTTTCTGACGGCACAGAGCATGCTTTAACATCTGTGTGATATTAAGTGTGAAGGTGCCAGGCCCCCTGGGGGATGCCCCTGGCTGTTCAGTTAGTTTCATATTTGTGTGAATAATTGTAATTCTGAGGTGTCCTAGTAGGAACCCACACACATTAGCCACATCTTCTAACTAACCTTTATAGCTAATACAGGAAATGCTGTGATTGCCTTCCTTACTCCTCAGTTTAGCTTGGGAGTAAGGAAAAGAGATATTATTATTTATCAGGTATCCTGAAAAACCAGGAGTTCTTTTGTATAGGATCCCAGGAAATTATAGTATTTAATTTTAAATATTTTCATTTTGTCAATTTTTCTTCAAAGTTATTAAAAGGGACAAATACATTTATATTTTTGTCCAGAATGTAAGGGTATGTAGTCCCAGAACTGAAAACTGACTTATCTTTTATTGCTCAAAATATGAAACAAACTAATGACCACTCGTCCTTGACTCAGTGCCTGAAAGTGTGGTCCCAATGGCATAAGAATCGCATTGTTTTTGTTCCATCAACATCCTGAATACAATTTTACCTATTTTAATTCTATTACCTGGGATTTACTCACCACCTCTCTTGAAGAGTTTAAAGTTACATAATGAGGCTTTACTCTTAGTCCTAAAGTGAAAGATTTCAAGGTTTTTCCTATGATGGTGCAGTGACTCATTTTGCTGGAGCTTCAAAAACACCAGACGATGTGATGCTTCCCACACAGTATATTTTTTGCTAAATGGGAAATTACCATACTGCCTAGGAAGAGTGAGTGTGGAAAAGTCAGGGGATTCAAGTTCTAGAAAGGACTCTTCCACCAACTTTTGATGAGAGCTTAGTTTTGGATTCTTTATCTTTCCAGTGGGCACTTAGGTTCAAGTAGAAAGTAAGAAGACAAAATGATACAAGTGGGAGGGAGATTTCAAAATGTACTTTTAAAAGCTTTTAAAAAAAAACACTGCCCAAATCAAAATGCATATAAAAGTGTAGTTAAGTATGGCATCACTCATGTCTTGATCAGTAAATATATCACCATCAAAATGAATTTGGAGGAGACTTTGCAAAAGGCAGCCATGCTCTGATCTTCTCTAGCACCTATGTTCTTTCAGCAAGCATTCAATGTCATTATGCTTCAACCATTGTTAGCTTTATGAATATAAAGATTTTATTTTATTAAAATAAATTATTGTCTGCCATCAGGTGGGAGAGAGAGGGACCAATAAATAACTCAGTATAGTTAGTCCAATGGCAGCATGAGACTGGCATGTAAGCTTTTAATAATGTTTCATAAATATGTCTTGGGTTGAAAAATGTTGCACATAATTTATGAGGGACATTTAATGTATACCAATAAATGCCATAAACACAATCAACACATATGGCCTTTAACAACAGTTTCTTGAATTTTCAAAGATGCCACTGACCGAATATTTTGTGAAAGTGTTATGTCAGACTGACATCTCACGCCATCTTGAAGGGGGCCTTTGGGTTAAAATACTTATTCTTTCCCACAAAGCTCAGGATCTGGGGCCCAGTATTTGGACTGAGGGGTAGGCATGCCAGGGTGACATTTCTTCTGGTAAATAAATATGACATTTCTTCTGGGGTCCTCTGCAACTGAGCAGAGGTCTCAATCAGTCAAAGTTCCCGTCTGTTCTCTGAGATCCCCATACCACATGAAGAGCTAACACCACAAACAGGAGAGTGGCATACATTTTGAAATAACTCCCTCTGTTTTCTGTCCCTCCAGGGAAACTCAGGGACTAGCTGTGGGGAAGATAGGAAGTGGAGAAGTAGATATTTCCCAAGTCAGCTTTCTAAATCTCCATGATTACTACCAAGACCTTAACAGTACCTTATCAATCTACCAATTGCCTGACCTATCCTATGTCTTTTTTTGCCATAAGACCAAGATATAGATAAAATGTTAAGCATTTGGATAGAAATTATTCACTAAATGTACACATGGCCTAAACCACCAGGAAACATTTAGTATATTTTATAACCTATGATTTATTTTTTATATTTGAATGAATATCTTACCATGTTTTCAAAGCTCAGAAAGGACATACTAGGTGATAAAGTTTATTTTCCATCCCAATTGAAATTACAACTCAAAGAATTACTGGCCTCCAAGGGAAGGAACTCAGATTTCTAGGTCATTATTCTTCCTCTGGCTGTAGAAGACTGACATTTCTGGGTAAATGGGACCAAAGGGCAACAACCATTTCACCAGACAACATGTCTTTTTATGGGATTGTTTGAATCCTGCTGTAGATAGCAGGTGGATGGTGTTTGCGTACAAATCCTAGTGCTGAGGCACTTGGTGGATAAGAGCTTGGCATTTACAGTCAACACACCCTTACTCCCATCCTGACTATGATGCTGACCAGTAGCAGGGACTTCTTGTAAGTTACTCTCAGTTTCCTCCACTGCAAAACAGTGGGGATAATAGTGTCTTCCTATCTTCCTGTCATTTTTCCATAAACATTAGATAAGATAACATAGATAAGATCCTCATGTAAAACAAGTGTCTAATGATCTGTAGCTAAGGAGTGATCAGATGGCAGTGAAGAAGGGGATGACAGTGACGGCAAAGAGGTGGAATTTGTATTAGGTCCATTACCTACCATAGCAGATGAGTGCATAGTACTTGGTGTAGTCGCTGAAACTTGCTGTGTAATACTGGCACCTTTCTTTCCTTAGATAGCAAGTAATGCACTTCTTGCGTGGAGGATAGCTTCCAATGCTAATTCTAGAGGAAAATGAAAAGAAAACTCAGCTGAAATTTTAAGATTGTATCTATTGAAATGTGATACTCCATGTAAAATGACTAATTTGCACATTAACATCAAACCCACTTTATTTTTCTGTTGCCAATATCTTTTAAAGGAAAGGGGAATCACAGTATTTTGATGTGACTTGAGTTTTGATCCGTCTTTACCCTAACAGGTGGCAAACTGAGAAAGAGGAGCCCTCCCTGGTTTCTTTGGGACCACCACTTTATAAAGTGTTTGGGAATGCAGAGTTCCTCATCTCCCGTTATCTATTGTACTCCCTTGGCAGAATATAGTAGGGAAATATGGCAGTGTCATCAAAAAAGCAGTGTCTGTTCTTACATATATCTGGAAGGGGAAATTAATATTTGGCAAATTAGAAAGAGGAAACCATGATTTTAAGTGCCTCCTGTGCCTTTCATTCCTTTTGGCAGGAAATTTGGGGTCTGCGATGCTCCCTCTACACTAGCCAACTGCACTTACCACATGGATTGCGCCCTCAGTGTGGTTTCTGAGTGGGGAGATTGGCTTTAACAGACAGACTCCCAGACCTTACCCCAAACTCTCAGAAATCAGAATCTCATTGAGGACAGACTAGGTGGTTGTGCCAGGATGAGGCAGGAGCAGAGGCTCCTGTGGCTCGTAGGGTTACCAGTGGCCACTGTTGTGCTCTTTCTGCAGCTACCCACCCCTGACCTTGCCCTGGGCATAGTGGAGAGTGGACGGAGACATCGCTGGTGCCAGAGAGAGGGATTCTCTCCAACAGAGAAGGAGCCATGATCCAGGAGGGAACAGATTAATGCTGCAGAGGGAAATTTTCTTATTTCCTCAGTTATGGTTCATGTTCATATTTTGGTGTGATCTTAGAAATAGTAGGAAAGCAGTTAACAAGAAGGGGTGAAGGTCAGCATGGGTATAGGTACAAATTTTGACTCCAACAACATCACAGACTTGTAGAGTTGTGGGGATTAAATGAAATTATATATATGTAAAGAAGAGAAAGTGTGCGGCCTATATAGTAAACTACCAGTCCATGGTAACTATTGCTTTTTTTCCACATAGAAGGGGCTGTTGAGGGTGATATTCCAATCAGCAAGGGGACTGCAGAACTGAATTTTGACAAATTTAGGAGCAGAGATGAATTGCTTCTAAGCATGATAGGTTTAAGCCAAATTGAACCATATTAAAAGAAACCAAACATAATGGTAATAAATAAAATACCTGATACACGATAGTACTTAATATATATGTGTTAAGTGAAAGCTTGTCCTCAATTACCTTTAAATGAAGTAGAAGTATTTAGAATCATGTTTATAGCAGCATTAGAGTTTCTAGTTTTTTTTTTCTTTTTGAAAGCAAAACCTTTTGAGTTGATTAATATTTGGTGTATATATTTTTTATAGTGATATGGTATACAACATTCTCTGAATGTTTTAACTTAATAAGTTTTATTATATTTCAGAATTTACTTTTTTTTATTGAAGTAACATTGGATCACAACATTATGCAGATTTCAGATATAGAGCATTATACTTTGACATCTATATAGATATATCCACCAAAATCTACTTTCCATCCTTTACCTTCCAACTGACTCTTTTTACCTGATTTGTCCACCTCTACCCCCATCCCCTCTAGTGATCACCATTTTATTCTCATAATCTAAAAATTTGCTTTTCTTTGCTCATTTTTTTTTGTTTCAAGTATACAGCTTTATAATCTCATGTGTATATACTACATTATGATCATCACTAAAAGTGGTTTCCATCTAATACCATAAAATTGACCCCCTTTACCAACTTTGCTTACTCCATTTCAGGCTTTTAAATAATATTCTATATCTTCTGAGTTCCTTGATGGTTTTTTATTCAAATAGCAATCTATGAAAGGAGCAGAATGAATTGACATAAATTACCTGTAAATATTCCTTCTTCCAGGGTAGCCTTCAAATTCATTGCTAGAATAAAACCTGAAAATATATTCAGAAATTATTAAATATTTATGAGTAAATGGTGATAGAATTGTTAGTACTAATACCAATATAGTAAACAATATAATCCAACTCTCATTTAATAAAACTATTAGTTGGGACTTATCTGTATGTTTTACTGTGTTCATAACACTGAATTTTGGTTACCTACTCTGACTTTCAAATCACCAGAGAAAGATTATACTATGCTGAGTACTCTTTTTACAATTAGGTACACTATATTTAAATGCTTAATTCATTAATTATGAGCCACACAAAAATAATCTGGATATTCCCTTTCCTTTTGAAAGATTAATAACAGTTTGTGGGTTTCTCTATACTATATTATTTAATTTTGTCTGTGATTCTGAACATGTTTTGAATTTGTTTTACAGAATCCCTGACAGTAGATACGTTTGCTATAAATCAGGAAACTCATCCACACTGGGATACCACACAAAAAGCCATGCCAATTTACCCAGATGCAAAACAAGTCACAAGAGAACATATTTGTTACTTAAGTACCCAGGTCCCAGTTCTAACCTGTCTTAATATAGCCATGAAGTGGGAAATCCAATTTTAGCTACATGATTTTCACTCCTCAGTGAATTCATCTAAATATCACAAAGTCAGTTTCTCTCTCTCTCTTTTTCTTTCTCTCGCTCTCTCTGTATTTCTCTCTCTCTGTTTCTCTTTCAGTCTCTCTCATAATAATAATAATAATAATAATAATTATAATAGTAATAATAGGTGTTAAAAATACTTGGAACCACCTAAATTTGGTCATTTACCATTATTTCAATTCTTAAGACTATTCAACAGTCTAGATATTTTTATGTCCTCACTGTCATTAAAACCTTGCTACACACACACACACACACACACACACACACACACACCCACTCACCCACACATGAAGGACAAGGTAGCAGAATACAACTCACTCCTAGTGTTAAATTTTCTTCTAAACCAGCATCTTTTCCATGCCTTTACTAACGACTTATACTTTAGTCATCACTTTTATTTGTCTTTACTAAATCCTCTCAAATCACCCATTAATTTTTTCCAAACAACTCCTGGCAGTTCTCTTGTTATGTCTAAGTTTTCACAATAGTCTTCATATATAACACTTGCTACAGAGTCCACTTTTCCTCTTTCCCTTTCCTTTTCCCTCAAAGTCACTAATTCATCAGTCCTGTTCAGCCTCCATCTGTCTTTACCATCTATCTACCCTTCTTATTCAATATTTATTGAACTCCAGCTCTTTGCTAGGCATTGTGCCAAATGCTAAGGATGCATAAAAAGGGGGTATCGTTTTGCCTTGAAGAGTCCATATTTCATAGCCAGTATTCTTGTTCAAGCCTCTTTCACCCCCAGACTAGATATGACCATAGATGAGTTTTCCTGCATTCAGTTTTCCTTTATTGCCTAAATACATTATGTCTGAATCATCTCCCCTCTCTTTTTTTAAACCTTGCCACTCCTTTTACACTGGTGATTTTAATGACTGTTCCATGAAATGTCCAATTTTCTTTGCTGAATATTCAAAGAATTCCATGAATTGGTAATCAGTTTTTATCCAGTGAGCCTGAACTATGATCTTGCCTTATTTGCTCCCAGAATCCCAGCTAGTGGCAGGCATATAATGAGTGGTGAGAGGGTTCTACTCTACCCTTTGATTTATCTTTATTAAAAGTGAGGAAAAGGAATCATTAATTCATGATTAGAGAAGTTTTATCACAAGTGATTATTTTAAGATAATTTAGTTAGTGTTCATTATGACCTAAAAGGAAAGGACTAGAAGAAATAAATCCCATGTTGGTTAGTAATAGTTTAATGTGTTCTAGGTTTAAGTCATAGTTCTGCCACTATGTGGCCTTGGCCACGTTAGTTAAATTTCCGAGTATCAGTTTTCTTATCTTTAAAATGGGTATAATCATTTCTATGTCACAGTATATGTTACATAGTATTGTTCAATAAATGATAACTGTTATAGATAATCTTAAACTTATACAACAGTGAGTCACCACAAAGGAATTTCTGTATCTAGAGATTATCCTAAATGGATTTTTGAAGTTTTCTCATGGCTCATTGTTTTTTAGACAAACTATGCTTGTTGTATAATTACTAAGTATGAGAACAGAGAAGACCATTTGCTAAACATTCTATTCAAATCATCTTGATTAGTTATTAAACAACATGCAATCTTAATAAAAATCTGTCTCAACTAAACTATAGAGGAAGTGACAAAAATGTTCCTAACTAAGAGAGGTGGTGTAGTACCATTTGGACATCCATCAGTGCCAATTAAAACCTGAATGGTGCAGCGTGCTTCATGTAATACTTACAGCGAATCCTGTGTTACTCTGAATATATTTATGGCCTCCCACTTGCCACTTGTAATTTGAATAGCATTTTCCTATAAAAAGACAAACATTATGTTGTGTGAAGTTGAGCGTTATTTGAGCAACCTCAAGTGAATGATCTTTGAGGAGATAAATCTTGGAAGGAACGTACCACAGTGTCTTTGATATAGTGAATATGTTTGTAGCCATCCTTGTCGCTAAATATTTTGTAGTATGAAATGGCATCATAGCTGAAAACTGGTGTTGAAACAAAGAACTGAAAGAAATGAACAGAGGTTATGTTCAAAAGAAAAGCTGAACTGAAGCTCTCTATTTTATATAAAAATATCTTAGAGTCCTGATTATAGGACTCAAAAAGCCTTGACACCCTACCTTCCGTCACTCACATCTGAAATTCCATTCTTTCAGATAGACAGCTTTTCTAGTGATTCTGTTACTAACACATCCCAACTACTGCTCAAATGCTACTACACACCCATAAGTTTGTAATGTTTAATTTGACTGAATTTTTATGATCTGAGATGATATAGTTTGAAATAGAGTTAAAAGAATCACAAATGAATGTTGATATTTAAACAAGTCTAACTTCAAAATAGCATGTTTGACTAAAGTCTGACTCTTGTTGAGACTGACTGCCCTTTTGATTCTTGGTTGTCAGATGCCAACACCTAATGCCAATGACTCAGCGAAGACATTTTTAAAGATTTAAAAACCATGGCCAGCTAGTCTCAGTTTTTAATGGCAGGGAGGAACTTGAGTGAAAAATGTTACCCTGGACAAGGAAATGAAAGTTTTGCTCCTTGAGACCAGCAGGGAGCTGAGCTGACCTCATTGTCCATCTCTGAGCTCTTCTCAGAACCCTGCTGGGTACCTGCTGGAAACAGCTTAATGACATAAGGAGTCCCTAACACTGAGCTCTAGTGTTTGGAACAAAGCAAGTCACACCTCAGTATCCTCAATGGTACTGACAAATAAATTCCTTCAGTGTCTTCACACTCAATTTTAGCCAGTAGTGTCATGGTTTTTCTCCCAATAAAAAAATAAAATTACTAATCTTACATTTGCTAGGTTCTTTTTTTCCAGTGGTGAAAGTACCATAAAATGGTAAAAGAAGCTACATGAGGAAAGAGTTACCCTATGTCAGGCAGAATAGATATTCCCACAAATAATCTGAAACCTTCTATCTCTAGCTTGAGTCCTTCCACATCCCAGTGAACCAAGAAGTTCAACACCATTACAACTAACAAATAACACAAACCAAAAAAACTACTAGTATTTTTTAGCTATAAAGAAGACCTATCTTTATGACATCCAATTGGAAACCCATTTTTGAGCAAGACAAGATCTGGAGAATCTCTGTTGGCCTCTGATGTGTCAACTGACACTTGCAGTTTTTTGATAAATTGATGATTACAATTATATGTTATTAAAATATAATTTGATGTAATATCTATAGTGATCTTAGTATTGTTCCCAAAAACTCATTTCTACCCAGAACTTCAGAAGGTGAAGTTCATATGTTGAAACTCTATCCCCCAGTGGAATGGTAAGAGGATGCGGGGCCTTTGTGAAGTACTCTGGATTAGAGGAAGTTATAAGATAGCACCCCATTAATGGCATAAATGTCCTCTTAAGAATTACCAGAAAGCTTGTATTCTTTGCTCTGCCCTACACCATGTGAAGACACATAAGAAGATGGCAGTCTGCAAGCCCTTACCAGAACCCAACCATGCTGGCACACTGATCTTAGAATTACAGCCTCCAAAGCTGTGAAAAATAAATTTTGGTTAATTATAAGACATTTAGTGTGTGGTACTTTATTATAGAAGTCAAGTGGATTCCTCTTTGGAATAAGGTCTTTGCAGATTAACCAAGGTAAGAATTCAGATGTGATCATATAGGATTAGGTTGGGCCCTAAGTCAAATGACTATTATCTTTACATGAAGATGAGAAGACACAGAGAGACACAGGGATAAATGCTCTGTGAAGATGGAGCAGGGACGGGACCAATGCAGTTTCAAGTCAAGGATTGCCAGGAACTACTCAGCTAGAGAGAGAAGGAAAGCTTGTTCACTAGGACTCCAGAGGGACTATGCCATCCTGAAACAACTTTGGACTTCCACTTTCTAGGGTGGTGAGAGGACACATTTCTTGTTTTAAGACACAAAGTTTATGGTAGTTATTTGTGTCCTAGGAATCAACTACAATGTCCTAAGTCTTAACATTTTGCCATAGAATTGATGTCTTTAACAAAGTGAAAAATGGGTTGATGAGAAATTTGTCTCCTAACATGATTTTCTCAGTACCTTTTTTTTTTTAAGATTTATTTATTTATGCATATAAGAACTGGGGTACAGGCCAGAGGTGCAGGAAGTGAGAGAATCCACCAGAGACAGAGTGGGGAACAGAACAGGCAGACTGACTGAAATACACTGCTGAGGGGAGCAGTGGGAGAGTCAGGAGAGGTCTGCTGTGCCATGTGGGTAGCTCCCTGGCCAGGGATCGAACTCTGCTGCAGTGGCTGCAGATAGCTTCATAGGTTGTGTCTTAACCCCTTGCACCATCAGGGAGGCCCCCACCTCAGTACCTTTCTTAATAATAAGACCAAACTTGGCAGTTTCTGTGCAGTGAGACTAACCATACCTCTAAGTAAAATTGAGAGCCTAGAGGACCTGGAATAAGAAATTCTGATTTCTAATTTTGTAGATGGAATTTCATTAGTAGAGGTCTGACAAAATCCTTTTCATTTTAGAATGAATCTTTATACTGTTAGCCAAATGATAATATATTTACTAGTAATCACTTTAAAATATCTCTGCCTCACTCCTCAGATTTAAAGATAAAAACTGGCTCTACGCTGTCTTAACCACTAACATGGAAAGGGGTCACAAAATATTTTAAAGTATCAGGGAAAAAAATCTTACATCTGTTGTTAGTTAAGGAACTTTTAAATTGTTTTGTTCTAAGTTAAAAATTAAAATCTCATTTTCATTGAAACTTTAAAAATAACAGGGCAGAATATTATCTATTAGATATTAGAATCAAGCAAACAGGAAAAGTATTATCTTCTCAGGAAAGACTGTTATCGTCTCCCCTTTTATTGCACACATCCAAGATAGCTGCTTTAGATGCACAGGTAACTTGGGTGAGGTAAAGAGAGTGTGAAATATTTCCGCATTCACTTTGCTACAGCTAGGCCCGTAATGCATCCTGAGTTAAGTGCTTCTTGCAGCAAATTCTACCTGGGTCAGAGATAAGTGCACATATCTAGGTGGTCCTCACTTTTACCAAAGTCTCTATACAGGTCTTTTTATTTTGCATAGATTTTCTGAAAAAGTACTCACCACTACATGAAATGAAAAGCCATTTAAAATATTGTACTTGGATGGTAAGATTATTTAAAGAGACAGTTTTTTGCCACCGTTGGTGAATGACTGGTGGGCCTATTTGTCTAAGGCTAACGCCTAAACTGAATTCATATTCAGTCAAAAGCAGACTTATAAACATCAAGCAGAAAATTCATTTTTCTGAACCAAAGGATTTTTCCAACTGCCTAAAGAAGGTGTTGTGTATGTTTAATTATTTTAAAATAGCTTAAAACTGACTTTTCAGTCCAAGTGTTATGCTTTCAGATTGTTATCCAAATTTTTGTAATTAAATATTAGATTCTTTGATTAAATCCTCCTTTTTGCCTGTTATCTACAGGTCAAAAGCAATTTAAAGTTAATTCATTGTTGTTATTTTTCTGACTAAATGTCAAAGGAGAAGTTAGCTTACTCTTCCCAACTTGACATAAATATCTCATACTGGAGGAAAGAAAGAGGTAAGTAAAATTCTCAAGAAATCCATTTTATAGTTCTGTGCCTGCAACTATTCTAAAGAAGGATTACTCCAAAATTGCTCTTTAAATTTATACTAATATGACTAGCCTGTACACGTCATCTAAGACCTCACAAATATTATTTGAACTAACATATTTCCACTTTATTTCTCTGTAATTTTCTTAAGTCATTGGTTTGATCAATGGTCAAAGGAAGCTATTCAGTATGTTTTGACATAAGAGTTACGACCATGTAAAGTTATGGCCCAGCTCTTTCAAAGTTATGTCAGATGGGCCTCCCTGGTGGCGCAAGGGGTTAAGCACCGCACTATGAAGCAATCCACAGCCTCTGCAGCATGAGTTGGATCCCTGGCCGGCCAGGGAGTTACCCACATGGCGCAGCAGACCTCTCCTGACTCACCTGCTGCTCCACCTCAGCAGTGTATATCATTCAATCCACCTGTTCTGTTCCTCCGCTCTATCTCTGGTGAATCCTCTCACCCCCCACATCTCTGGCTTGCACCCAAGTTCTTTTTTTTTTTTTTAAGATTTATTTATTTATTTATACAAGCATTGGGTACAGTCAGAGGCGCAGGAGGGTGAGAGAATTCACCAGAGCCAGAGCAGGGAGCAGAGCAGGCAGAAGGACCAAAATACACTGCTGAGGGGAGCAGCGGGCGGCAGGAGAGGTCTGCGCGCCATGTGGGACCCTCGCCTGGTGGCCAGGGATCGAACTGGCGCTGCAGAGGCTGCAGGCAGCTTCGCAACCCAGTGCTCAACCGCTGTGCCACTGGGGAGGCCCCTGCACCCCAGTTCTTGTATGCATAAATAAATCTTTAAAAAAAAAGTTACGTGAGGACTTAGAAAACCCAGTGAATGACCTCTTCAGAGCAGTTGCTTTGAGAGAGTATGAATTTATTATTGGAAGTTATCATTGTAAAGAGTTTTTGACAGTTCCTCTTTTGGTAGGTAGAAAGTTTAATGACAGATAAATTTTAAGAGATTGAGATTAGTACATAATAAATATTGTTTGCCAATAGAATTCTATAAAGGTAGATATTAAAATAACCTAACATAAAATCTCAAGGTATCGAAAAATTATTCATTTATTCACTAGATTTATTTTGACATGACTTTTGATCCGTAGAGATAAGGATAAGATAGGATCTTATCTTATAAGGATAAGATAAGATAAGGATCTTATCTCCACTCAAAGGACACAGTTACATCTCCACCAAGAGTGCTTAAATCACTGTTCTATACTTTAGATGACAATTTATTTATGTATTTATTCATTTATCCAGTGAATGTTCTCTGAGATTGTAAGGTAGGTGCTATGCAAATATTTAAAATTAATAAGATAGAATTGTCAACATCAAAATGCATGTAAATAGAAGAGTTCAAAAGATGCATTCTAAAATATCTAAGGTAATACAAATGTTGGTAGTAGTTAAGAGAGTAAATGTGTATAGATTCCTAAGATCATGTCTTTGAGAAGATTGTATCATTGTTTCACTATTTATAAAACCATAACATTCATGTTACTATTTGTAGTAACTAATTATATTATCATCATGGAGAACACAGCTAAAGGGAATTTTCAACTTTTTTCTTCCTCTCATTCTTTATGAAAATCTTTATAAGAGTGAATGCACTGATTAACTCTCCCTTTTCTTCAAGTTTTCACATGCTTATCTAGGAATTATATTTCTAGTAGGTGAGATTCTGACAGATCAAGAACTCAAAAGTTGGGAAAATCTGTACTTTCACAGAGTGTTTCTAATTTTTCCTAGGTTAGAACAGTGGCAAAAAGTAAATTCAAATAACATTTCCCTTTAACTTTCTGAATTTCATATCTATCTTTTATAGTTTTTTACTTTAGAATGTAATTTATATTTATGGTATGTATTAATAAAGTCATAGTTATAGTTAGTGAATAAAACAGAAGTATCTTTTATTGAAGGAGAGCAAATATAAGTAAAAATCTAGAGCTACTAAAAAAGAATTTTAACATCTGAACTTTTTTACTTTACAATTTACCTTCTTCCTCCCTATCCAAAACTTAGTATTTTATAATACTTCTCATCTTAGAATTGTAATTCTATATTGTCTTTGTATCATGGGTTTTACTGTTTTGTTAAATCAGGGCCTGAGTATTCTTTTTCTTTGCATGTGTCCAAATTTCAGAGAATTTCAAAGAAATATCTTTGTGATGAGTGGCACCATCCACACAGTATTCACTTATTCTCTCTCCTATTTTGAAATATTCATGTGGATAGAAGATACAATTGATATTTTCCTATGACATGATTTTTTTAGGTTTAATTAGGTTACTAATTAGTAATTAGTAAAAATTAGTAAATTAGTAAAATTAGTAAAAATTTTAGTAAATTTAGTAATTAGTAAATTAGTAAAAATCCTAGATTTAGCATCATAAACCATAACATTTTCCCATTTGATGTCACTTTACTTAAAATCTAAAAAGTAGGTATGAAATTAATCATTTGTTTATGTAAAATCTAGTAAGTGGAAAAATATCTCTAAATTTCTAAGAATATCCAATATGTATTTTCTGGAACTCAAATTACTAATAATTACTAAGATGATTTTTAGCAGATCAGGGGGTGGTGTTCTCCTTTGAAAAAATGATCTCTATTGGATTATGTAAGAAGTAATATTAATTGCAGATATCAGAGAATCAATTGGAAAAGTTAAGGTTTGGACATGAGAAGTAATGTTTTATTCTCAATAGAAATCTAAAAATATAAATATTGAAACTGTCTGACCCGAAATAGCTGAAGGGATCACTACCTTTGTGTGTTTTAGCTTGATATTTTTTCTATGAAAACAAAATTCCAGTTTGAATACATTTCTAATAACCCTTAAATAGGTAAAAGCCTGTCAAGTTTCATTAAAATATAAGGAAAAAGATAGCAAAATCATACTCCACCAGCCCATCCATTTGTGCTTTCTTCTATGTGCTCCTGGGTCTAAAAGACAAAAGAATCACATTAGACATCATATAATCGGGATATTTTGAACCAATTAAGTTGTTGAGTTGTACAGTATTGCTAATGAACTAACTTCGAATTTGACTTTTAGATGACTATATTCAAAATCTTATACAAAAGTGCCATTGCATATATGAACATGATATAAGTGTTTGAGCTTTTAAAAGAGCAACCCTTTAATAATTGTGGTTAAATCTTTCATGAGGCAATGAGTGAAAATTATCACGACATCTAGAAGGGCCTGGCACAATCCAAGCACTTGGTGTTATGTAGATAAAAATGTATTTCATGGGCCTCCCTGGTGGCACAGCGGGTTGAGCACAGCGCTGTGAAGCTGTCCACAGCCTCTGCAGCACAGGTTCGATTCCTGGCCAGCCAGGGAGATACCCATATGACACGGCAGATTACTCCTATCTTGCCCACTGCTCCCCTCAGCAGTATATTTTGGTCTGTCTGCCTGTTCTGCTCCCCACTCTGTCTCTGGTGAATCTTCTCACCTTCCCACACCTCTGGCCTATACCCCAGTTTTTGTATTAAAAAAAAACTGCATTTCACACTGGAGTGTAGGTGTTATGAAGTAGAAATCTCAAAACTTGCACTGAATTTTATTTTGTTATATATTTTAGCTTAATGCAATCAGTTGTTTATTGAACAAATAATTTTTAGTGAGCCTAATAGAATGAATAAGTTTTTCTAGACAAATAGAGAAAGAACATTCTAGGCAGAATGAAGAGCATAGAGACCAGACAAGCTTAATAAACTATAGGTAGTTTCAGTAAACCTGAGTGGACAGTGACTATAGAAAAGAGATAGAAAATTAAAGAAGATATATAAGTGTCAGCAAGATTTTGGAGAAACTTTTATCCTAGCCTAGGAAATTTGGATTTCCCCTGAAATTAGATAAACCCTTTAAGTATTTCAAAAGTCACAGTTTGGATAATGTAATTGTGACTATACTACAGAAAATAGATTAGAAGTGGGTTAGCTAGAAAGAGGCAGAGAGAACTATTAGAAGACTATTGTGGTTTGGAAAAAAGAATGATAAAGGCCTGAATCTAGTAGTGGTATAATGAAGATGGAGCAGAGATGCCCAAAAGTTCAAACCTCAGAATGAATTTGATGGGTAAAGTGGTAATAGAAGTTCCTGGTACACACAAAAATCACCAAAAGAGAGTAAGAAGAGAGTTATGAGATAAGCAGCAGACCCATTTCCTTTCTTTGCTTGGAGTATAAACTAAATTTCCCAGTCCCTCTTCTAGTTGGCTGTGATCATGTGATAAACACTAACCAATGACACGAATAGAAATGATTCATGCTATAGCTATCTATAACCTACAAAAAAACAAAAGTTCTCATACATGATCCTTTATTCTTTTATCCACCCTCCTCACTGGATATTGATACTCAGATCTGAATACTCTTGGACTAACAATGATGATAGCTGAGATGCCATCAACCTCGGTTACTGAGTGACTGAGTAGAAGAGAGCGCCCCTCACCTCACCCCTCACCTCATGCCCTACACCTCACCACTCCTTGCTTGCTTGGACTCATTATTGCTTGGATGCTTACATGAACATGCAAAAAATGTCTACTGTAGTAACCCACTGAATTCCTGGAGGTTTGTTTTTTGTTTGTCTTTTGGCTGTTGTTATTATAGCAATTAGCCTACCTTGCAAATACATTAACTTGGAGAACAGTAAGATTTCTAGAGAAGTCAGAAGAGCTGGAAAGGAAAAGAATAGTCAGTGAAGGAGAAAGAGAAATATTAAAGTATCTACATTCATAAAAAACAAAGAAATAACACATTTTAAAAAATACAGTTTGGATTTTTTTCCTATAGGGATAGGCCAGTGCCTCAGAAAGAATAAATTGAGATTTGAAGAAGTGGTAAAAAACAAAACAAAAAATATTCATTGTTTTTAGCCATATAAGTAAAGTTAATTTTAATCCCTTTTTCAGAGGAGGGAAAATAATGTTAAAGATGTTTATTCCCCAAAGTTCAAATTTCTTAATATAACTCAATATAGTAACATCATAAGTAACAATTGCCAGTTTCCTTTCCTCTTTGTTCTGGATATGACTTCCAACATAAATAAATGTTCCCACTTTCCTTAATCTTAAATACTTTTTTGTTTTTAACACGCACACATACATACAAACACACACACAAACACTCACAAACACACATAGCAGTCATGAGACATGACTGATGAATCACATGAGCGTGGTTGCTGAAAAATTCAACACTGTTGTTCTTAAAATTGAAAATATGTTCCATGTGTTTACCAGATTATTTTGAAGCAGAGGTTGTTTTGAATCCTAAGGTTATTCAAACCTGGTAGTCTAAATTTAAGCACTGTTTTTGGCCATAATACTAAAGTTTATATTCCAGGGAATTCCACGTCTCCTTGAATGAGCATCTTATATGTTCTGTCAGTTTGGATTAAAGTTGTCTCAGATTTTGATAAATTAGAATTTCAAATTCCAAAGCAATCACAGTTTTTACATGCCTAGTTTTAAGAGCTAAAAATTGTATTTAAATGACCAATATTACAATTTTAAGATAAAAAAATTAAAGTTATAATTCCTAAAACCTAGGCTCAACAAAAATGTTAAGGGTATATTCAGCCAAAATTGACGAATCAGACTAGTGGTTTCTAATTAACTAGTACAATCAAGCTTATTCTATCCTTTTTTTTTTATTTGCCTGTGATACTGCATGAAAGCCAAAATCTTTCTGCTTTGTATATGAAAATATAAATAAGACAAAAATAAGATTCTAGCAGATTCCATCAAAATTAGTCAAGCTTCTTACAGACACAGTAGTGATTTAAAAACATATTTTTAGCCTGAGTTATGTTGACTATTATAGTCCTGATATATTTCCAAACACATTCATATGACTTTCTCCTTGCAAAACATAATGTCCTAATTTCTAGTTGAAATTTAGTGATTTACTTTGATTGTTCTGTGCTTTTCCTTTACTTTATGAAATAGGTTTATTCTATATTTGGTTTAATGAAACATTTCTTCATAATTAGACGTCTCATGAAATGAACCCATCAAATTTCCCATGCAAAAACATTTTGTATTTCTTAGTCTCTAATATGTGTACTTATGAATGCACTTATTTTAAAGCTTTTAGACTGGTGAAGTAGTTTTCTGACTCATTAATGCAACAGATTATGTTTGGATTTCAGCAATAGAAACAATTAAAAAGGAACAATAAATCTGTGCCTGGTTTTCATTTGTTTCTCCCTAAAATAAGTATCATGTGAAGCAATCTCCTAATTCAACAGGATAAGCTGATCTGATACTTCATGACATATTTTCAGTTGTCCACTTTTGACTTTAAAATGAGGCTATCTCACTTTGTTTTAACAATATCCATTTCCTGTGGAATTTTTATCATTCAATTTTGATACTAAATAGACCCTGCCCAATTTTCATTTCTCCTTTGATTTTTTTGGACAGAACATATTTATTTCCCTAATAGATTTATCATAGCTTTTCATCTTTATTCCTTTTTTTTTAAAACACTTATTTATTTATTTATACAAGCACTGGGTACAGTCAGAAGCACGGAGGGTGAGAGAATTCACCAGAGCCAGAGCAGGGAACAGAACAGGCAGACTGATGAAATACACTGCTGAGGGGAGAGCAGCAGGTGCAGCAGAAGAGGTCTGTTGGGACCCTTGCCGGCGGCCAGGGATAGAACTGGCACAGTCGCAACCCAGCGCTCAACTGCTGCACCACCAGGGGAGGCCCTCATCTTTAAAGTTTGCTTTTGTGACTGCCAATCTGCATGGCAAAGGATGGATATCTATCTTAACTGGTCACCAGATACCAGAGTGTCTCAATTTTACTTTGTTTCTATTAGTCTTTTCTCTATTTAATTCCAATGTTAAAAACAAGGGGTATCTTATTTACTTAATAAAAATAACGGACCTGTGAATAGAGAGTATTTTTTTCTTTTTTACAAAGCAATCAGATGTCAAATGCAAAATTTTGGCTTTATGATATACAAATGGAGCATTGCTAACTCGCCGCTCTTTCATCTTCAAAAATGCACATCTCTATGGCTTTTATAAAACCTACCTTTGGACAATCCCATATCTGCCAGTTTTCCTTGAAGTCACATATAGATAAGACTGAAACATTCTGGATTCTTTTTAGCCACTGCAAACATATTCGCTCATCAGTAACCCATGTGAGCCAACTGAAATAATAGTCACTGCAAATAAATCAAAACAGCGTCACAACCATAAACCAATATCACATCCAAATAATTTCCTAATTTCTGTTTTCAAAGGTTGTATTTTATTATCATGAAATATCTATCTTATAGATCAATAAGGCAATTTTTTCCTTTCTCTGAAGAGAAAGTTTTGATATACCAGCTAACCTTTATTCATCAAATAGAATGATTTCACATGGAATTTTCTCCCCATTTTGGATTTTTACATTTTAGAAAAGAATTTAAGATATAAGGTCAAAGCTACTGGTCAATCTAGAGCAGAAAAAGCATTAAACTGGCTATATACAAGTATTTTTTTAACTTTTTAACTAGTTGAGAGAAAACCAAGTGTGGTAAAAGGCCATCTTTTTCTCCAGACAGATTTGTGTTGGAAGCTGAGTTTTAAAGGGGCCACAGTCAAGGAGTGGAAAATATGGTTAGTGTAATAATCAGACATGATGTAGAAGAAGTAACTGAAATAGTACTTGCATACAGTAGGTGTCAATGAATGGCAGCAATGATTGCTTTTGAGGATGAACTTGTCAATAGAGAATATCAATATAATGAACCATAGAATTTTGGAGATTAATTATAAAAGAAATCACAATACTGAGAAGGATCTCAGTCTCAAATTGTGGCTTTATCTCCTATTTTGTCATACTATTTTAAGTCAGTTACTTAACCTATCTGAGGCTCTGTTTCTATACAAAGTAGGAATAAGAATATTACCAGCTTTAAAAGCAGGTGTAAAGATTTTCTGAACATGGTTAAAGTTCATAAAAACAGTATCTTTCATGTGAATGCTCAAAAAATACTAGTGATTATTACTATAATGTTAATACTTTACAAATATGCAAGCAAATCTCTGGACTCCTTATATAGTGCTCTTACTGTCATTCCATTTGCCTCCTGAAGAGAATTACCTTTGAAAAAAGATTCATCTAATTAAGCTTTTGTCTTATCAAATTGGAGTGGGAATAACAGATTACTCAAAAAGTTAAAGACATTTTGGATTATCCAAAACTGAATTCATTTTCGCAAGCCCCAGCAGAGGTCTCTGATAAGGTTCATTTCCCTAGTAGCAATCAATCATTTGTCTGTGACTGACTCTCCTTCATGAGACACTTCAGGGGGAACCAAGCCTTTGCCTCCTGGGGTCTGGGAAGTGGTAAGGAGCCTTACCAGGTAGGACTTGGGGATCCCTACCTTTTATCTATTATGGCCTGAATGACCACAGAGGATTGAAGGGGGTCTGAGAGGTTGTTATGACCAGGCTAATCAGACCAGATCTACATAGGTCACCATGCTGGGGAAAGTGAGTGTTTCCTGTTCCTATCTGTCTACAGTTAATCCCAAAAGAGATACATCTACACTCCCAGATCATTGAATAAAGGCTGCATCCTAGGGAAAAATTGACAACTGTGTGACAACTACTAACATTTCAAAATGAATATAAGACACTTACTTGGATCTTTAATTATGTATTTAGCTTTGCATGCATTTTATTTTTATTTCTAGTATACACATCATAAATTCACTAGAAAAGCAGTATAAACCCTGATTAAGAAATTTCAGTATTAAAATTCAGATGAAAAGGTGTAAAGCATTGGCGATCACTGTACCTTGAGGCTATCATTGCTGGAACTGGAACTTCTCTGGGACCTACATGGTCAGGGTAAGTGGTATCGATAATAAATACACGAACAACAGGATTCTTGGCCCCAGCCTGGCAAGAAAATAGAGCTATATAAGTTCATAAAATTATAATTTTCTCCAACATTTTAAAAACACATTGGGAAGTTAGGCATATATTTATAAACTAGTAATGTTAAGTGTATTACTTTTGAAAACATTCTAATTAACATCACCAGGAATTTCATTTCAATTTTACTTGCAGGACAATTACAAATATTAAGTCAACCAGAGTGAAAACATACAGTTAAAATAATTAATGAGGAGGTTTAATTCATAGGGAAAACATTGGGGCATGAAAATGCAGTTTTGATGATATACTCTTTTCTCTCCGATTGATTTTCGGGGAAGATTATAAAGACCAAATAATGAAAGATTATTCTAGAAAAATTCTAGGGTAAAGGACTAAAGTATCTTTCATCAATAAGCACTCAATCTCCTAACTAGTCACACCACTGGTACTTCCACCCCGAAGGATTAGGAGTATTTTACTTCCAAAGTGTCCATCAGACACTTGTTTTGTGTTTTCTGTGCCATTATAAGTCCTATATTTACATGGCAGTATAGTTCACATCCAGAAAGACTCTTACAGTTCCTCAGTTATTTACCACAGGAAAAGTGAATATTGCAAGAATCTTATCATTGCAATACAATTTATTTCACCAAGTTTTGGTACCGAGTCTTAAATGGCTCCATGCTGCTTGGATTAATCTAAGGCCTTGCACATGTTCTCACCATCCCGTTTCACTCTGAGGTTCAGTCGGCACTTCCTAGGTTCTTTGGAATTGTTCAATGCTAGATATTTCAGCAACTTCATTATTCAAAGACACATGAGAATCTGGGCCTCAACTCTTCTCATTGTCAACCTGGGTTTCTTCATCTCTTTTTCTTCCCTTACAGCTTCCCAAAGATCCAAGTTCTTTTACATTTTGGGTCGCAAGTATCACACCCTTGATGTTCAAACATTTCCAGCTTTCAGACTCCCTATACCACCCTTGATGATGAAACACTTATCTTCTATCCATTGTATTTTCTCAAATGCCTTTTAACATAAATGTTAGACTAGCAGACATGTGTATTTTTCTTACTACTAACTCCTGTGTTTGCACATCTGGCCCATCTTTTTCACAGATATAAGGGTGCTTTATATACAGGGAATTCATCCATGACATTGTTTCACTTGAAAAATAAAAAGAGTAGGGGTGAAAATCACTTCCAATCCCAATATCAGCAGAAGATTTATGCTTTGAACACCCTCTTTCAGATTTCTTATCTAAATTAAATTAGGAAACAGTATGTCTCCTCTTTGACCTGGTCATTTTCCTACACATACAAGCCTCCTGTCTTCAGACATGTGATTAAATGAAAAAATATATACAGTAAGAATTCTAGACTGTTAATGCAGAAAATTTTGGGCTCACATTATGTCTAATTCCCTCAAGGAAGAAAGTACACTCACATATTTAATCCACCTTAAATATACAGAAAACATCACAATTCATGCCTCCTTCCACCTGACAGGAACATCAAGTTCAACATTTGAATTTCTCCAATCTACTTTGCATTTATATGAGAACGCAACAGGGAATTGCAAAACAGAACTTTACCCTGAATTTGGAGCATGAAATATGAAAAAAATGAAAATTAAGTTAAGCTTGTTTTTCCTCCATGATCTAGACCATATGTTTTCCAAAGATTCTGCAATGGATTTTGCAAAGACTACTTCATCCAGCATAACCAGATGTCCAAAGCAACAGATGTCCACATAAATAATAGAGCACAGTACAATGTTTGCCTTACAATGTACAAGGCTAAGAAGCTCTCAAAACTTGTTGATCCCACCTCTATTCATGGTATTGGTTGCTCATTTTGACAACATAAAAATGAAAGCATCTGCTAAAAGTATCCAACATACCTTTGGGTATGGAATATTAATTGTTCTTGGATATTGTTCATCACCATAATAGGAATAAGCAATAACTGGTATCTCTGTATCATTAAATTCTGCATATGCCAAAAATTTTCCATTAGGAGACCACCAGAGAGCATATTTTGTAGCAAGCATTTCCTCTGGAAAACAAACACTGGCATATTAACTACAATTATGCCTTACTCTTAACATCATTGTAAGTATATAAAATATATATTATATAAAGCAATTGACTGAAAATAAATTTTATTGGAAAATAAATTTATTTAATTTCATTGGAAAATCATTTTATGTGGCTATGGCATATGTCATACCTTCAATGTTAAAAATATAAATAATCTGGGTTTAGAGGAATAGTTGATCTTTATGTCTCATATCAAACACCAGAATACTGCTAGAAATTGACATTAATAAAAAAATACAATTTTAAATAAATAAATAGGTATATCAACAATAATAATTAAGAATAATTATTCTCTTTTGGGGGCAGCTTCTTGTATTTATTGCCACCCAAAATAACTCAAATAAAGAGAACTGTAATTATATAGTGTAACATAAACATTGAAAGTTGACTTTCTCATGGAATTTTTTTTAAACAGACTTAGTTCAGTAATATATTTTCAAATAAAGACAAGGGCTAGAAAGCCTTTTAAAATCATTTAAGTCCTGGATCCTACCTGACACAGAAAGAAAACAGAATTCACAAAGGTATCAGAAACTAAGAATATTGCCCCAACATAATATAGACAGCTGTTAAGTTTTGGAGAAAAGTTTTATTTCTCAAGAAAACATACTGATACTGCATCTAAGAATCATATTCCTCTCAGAATATAAATTATTACTGCCACTTTATAATGTTATAGAAATAAGTTCTACGAGTCTGCTGATGACAAGATTTTGTTTTTTAGAACATGGACGTCCTGTTCATAACCTGGTAACAGCATCAGAAATATCATTCATCTAAATTCTACATGTATACAGTTTTAATTTTTTAATTAAAAACCTAAAAACAGAAGCAGTGGAAAAATAGTACAGCTTACCTTCATAAACCCAGTCTGGGATTCCATTAAATATTTTATTTTCTCTACCATTATGTGTTATTTGAAAAGGAGGATCTTCTGGCCTTTGTTTCAAGTAGATATTGTTTTGATAGACATAGGCCTATAAGTGGTTGCAAGTTAGTTAATAACAGGAAATTCCATAAGAAGTACAAAGAAATAGATATTATTTTTGTTATATATTGATATTCATTATTTTGTGTTAGTGTTAACCCAGTATCTTTAAAAAGAATGGTAATCCAGATTCAAAAACTCACAATGAAAATACCACTTTAATAGGTAATAAAATCCAAGCAATTCACATTAGATCATTATCATTTTTAAAGTCTGTATAAATAAGGGATGAAGTCTATTATCATATTAGTTGTTTTATTACTCATATAACTAAAGATGTGTATTGACAGAAAGTCAAATAAATCTCTGAATATTAATAGCTAGCCAGATCTAATCTTTATTTAGAGTCCTTAAATAAGAGCTTGGACAAAATTTCATGTTGTCTGAAGCTAGTCTGGGAAACTTGTGAAAACCATATTTTTCCTGAGCTTTCTGGCACAACGCATTCTGGCTGAGGATAAGGATAAAGTTTTTGACTGCGATATTTAAAGAAGTCTATCCATGAGCTTGAAATTTTGCGGAATTCTCAGATGGGTTTCAATTTATCAAAACTCTTCCCATTTTTAACCACTAAAATAGTCATGAATGTATTATTTTTTTTCTTGTAGGCAGGAAAATTTAACAAAGGCCAAAATCAAATGGCTCCTCTTTTATTTAAATGATTAAACACTTCTATAATTTAAACACTTACTAATTTACTCCCAACAGGCGACCAGCATAAATACTGAATTGGACGAGGAAGCTCATTTCTTCTTACAAACTCTCTAGAAGGAATGACAGAAAGAAAGAAAAAAAAAAAAAGACCTTTACTATTCAATGCAAAAAAAATCTGCAGAGGGAAAAAATAAACAAACAATAAAAATGCAGGGTCATCCTCTCTGCTTCTTCAATTCAAATGGAAAGAATGTGGGAGCATAAGGTTGAACACAAGGTAGTCTTAGGTTTACACTAATGGCTTATAAGTCACTAAACTTTTTCTGGGTCTCCATTTTCTGACCTTTGTAGTGAGGTAAATAGAATAAAATCTTATAGACAATGAGAATGGGAATGTGTCTAGAAATTTCCTAATAGAATTCCCTCATTTTATAGAAAATAAACTGGAGGTTAGAGAGAGCACACAACTTTTTAAGGTCACGTTGATAGTTCTTGGCAGACCCCTAATTAAACTCAAGTCTTTGAACTCTCAGCACTGTAACATTTGTACACACCAGGCTGAGATGGTCGCTGAAGTGCCTTCCAGCTCTGAAATTCTATAATTGTACTGAAGTTTAATATGTACTCTTCCACATTCTCATTCACAACCCCCATCTCTGGGAATGCATATGCATTTCAAATTTTTGAAAATAAGATGCCATTTGACAATCTCCCCAGGGATCTGACTTGCAATCAGAAAAGGAAAGGAACATCTGATCTCAAGCTAAACTGAAAAACAGATCGTATACTGGGCAGTCTGCCTTCAGCTCGCGAAGTCCTCCACCCAGGGGGAAATTCAAATATCCTATTGGCCAAAAATCTTACTTTGATGCTGAGAGTCACCCGGCAAATACTCAATTGACTGACTTGCATTGTGGAGTTTTTCAAGTTCTGTGGCAAGAATGTGTTCAGAATTTTCTAAGTGTTAAAGAGTAATGGTATGCCACGCTTAAGTTTTGACTACCTTCTTCTTGAAGATTGCATTTAATAGTTTCATCAAGATTGCTTTTGTGGAGAAGCAAAACAAGACCTGCTTCCAAGGTATAATTTGAGGAGCCTCAAGAAAGATGCCCTGGTTTTCCCCTCTAGAACAATCTCTCCAACATGAACTGGTGCCCAATATTTCTACTTTTCCCATTCTTTAAAAGCTCAGCTACCTATGAAGCCTTGTAGCACATGTTATCTTAACTTAACCTATTAGGTCATATAACATGAGGCCTCGTGAACAGTGAGGGAACATGACACTGAATATATAGAGTTGGTTAGAGAAAGGAGACTGTTGGTGCTGCTGTGGGAGTCCTGAATGCCACAGTAGATGAGTGCCAGGTCTGGAAGGGTCAGGACATAATGAATTTGAACAAACAGGGAAGAGAATGACCTAGAAAAGAAGACACTGTTCATTTGGTTTGCGATTCTGCCTCAAGCCAATGTTCATGTTACCTTTGACGTTGTAACACTGACTTAATGAAAATCTCAGCACAAGGTCTCTTCATGACTGGCAAGTCACCACAGCTGCCGTTTCTGTTTTCTAATAATTAAACAGTGTGAGGTAAATGGAGGAGGTGGCTTTATGAAGGCTGTCATCTCCTTCCTTACTTAAAACCAAAGCATCTTTATTTCTCTGTGGTAGATTTTTATAGACTCTTCAGAGGCATATAGAAGATTTGGAATTAGTCATAATCAGATTTAACTTGAATCTCAACATATTTGTCATCCCTCATTTCCTAAATTTTGCTCTATTTACCTGACAAAAAACAACCTGGCAAATAAGATAGGTGTGCAGAGCAAAACAAACCAAAACAGCATTTTGATTAAATTCATTGCATAAAAGCTGAATTTTTAAGGTGATTCTAGGTCAAAGCTTACATAGAACATAATTAAAATAATAGGATTGTCATATTTTGGAATGCTGTTTGGTGAACCTTAACATAGGTAGGGCATGAAGAATTTCAAAATGATGAAAAATATGAGAATGATTAAAGATTTATGAAATGGTACTGAAAGTAACTCTTCCATCTCACTAATCTGAAGATTTATTTCTTAAGGGTGGGCTTGACACCCAAGGTTCATTTGTAGCTCCCCACTTATGCTTTTCACTTAGTAGGTATTCAATAAATACTCTATCAATAACACTGACAGAGTTAGATACTACTTTATGAAGCAGTTCCTATTTCTTAATTTGACAGTTTAAGGAGATCAGAGTTACTCTTTTCTGAAAATAAAGGATAGATAAATTTTTTGTATACTTGTTAGACAAAAGGGGAAACAGACCATAAGATTTTTCAATACCTCTTCAAGGCATGTAATTATTTTTTCCTTTTATATAACAGCAAAGAGGATATCACATTAAGATGAGTAACGAAACCAATTCATTGTCCATACTTAGCCAGAGTGATTTTTCTAAAGTGCAAATCTGATCATGTCATTTCCCATTTAAAACCCTTCAGTGACTCCCTATTGTCATCAGAATGGGCTCTAAACTCTTTTTAATGGTTTCCTCGTTATTATCCTATGCTTCCTGGCCTTAACTCCTTCCCAACCTTACACCACCTCCCACTAGTCAGCATGTGCTCCTCCAATTTCAACTTAACTGACCTACTTTGAGTTTCCCAAGCACTCCAAGCTCTCCTTCCCTTTGGGGCTTTATATATTATTGGTTCTGTCAGGAATTATCTCACTCAGTTCTTGGCCTCCCAACTTATTTATTGAATTTTAAAATCTGTTTTCAGGACTCCCATGAATACCAAAAGCCACGGATGCTGAAATTCCTTATAAAAAACGCAGTATTTGCATATAATCTATGCAGATCTTTCTCATATACTTCAAATCAACTTTAGATTACTTTTAATACTTAATACAAAATAAATGTTGTATAAATAGCTGTTACAGTGCATTTTTAAAGGAATAATGACAAGAAAAAAAAGTATGTACATGTTCAGTATAGATGCTATCACAAGCCTTACCACACAATATGTATTTTCCATCTGTGGTTGGTAGAGTCTGTATATTTAGAACCCAGGAATACGTAGGGCCTACTGAATATTATATTTAAGTAATATTAAAGAATAGAAATGAAATTTTACCCATTCCTAAGGTCAAAAATGTGATAAGTTGCTGTGTAAGAGTATCTCCAAAGCTGTCGGAAAGAAGACAGGTAAAGACAAATTAAGATTCTTAAAAAGCTTCTATCAATAATACATAATAACACATCATTCAATACAAGATTCAGAATTATAAAAGGATCACTTTCACGAGGCATTAGGAGGTATTTTCAATTCCAAATGAGTCTTCTTTTAGAGTTTCACTGTGATCTTTTGTGCTGTTTGTCCAAGTTCCAGAACTAATCTCAGCAGTGATGCAACCCTCACTCCATAAAAAGAATATCCAAAGACATATAAAAATAAATATAACAAGCCTTGCTTTGACACACTCTATCTGAAGAATTTTCCCTTTTTGCTTTATTTATCTCGATGGAAATAGAACCACTATCATTTCCATGGGCCAAAAGGATTACCCTGCACTGGGTAATTCATTATAATGATACCCTTCAAAATTGGTTAAAAAGAATTTCAATCAGCATTATAAAATATTTGCTTTTTTAAACCTACTTTTATGAAAAGTAATAGATATTTAAAACATAAATAGAAGATATAGAGGTTGTAATTCCTCCTGAAAAAATACAGCTGTTTTTTTTCCTCATCAAGTATGTTTGTGTTGTGGTTAATAATGCAAGTATTATTTTGGTTCTTGTTTCTTAAAAGGGCTTCCAAATTCTTGGCTTAGAATCTACAGATGTTTGAGGCATATCTTTCTGAATATTGCTGGTGACCAGATCCTGGTCAGTAGAAAATGTTCAGTTGACAGAACAACCAGAAAGGGGCAAGATTGACTTTTCAGTTTATACATTAAGGGGAATTAACATCTCAAATAAGATATAAAAAAGTGGTAGCCAAGACCAAAAGCTCTATACCTAAAAGTAATTATTAGAAGCTTAATTGCATGGTAACTGTTTTGCCATTAGTAAAAAAAAAAAAATCTGGAGGATGTATTAGCAGAAAAAGTAAGATAATTAACTTCCTTCAATAATTTCATTCAAAAGGGTAAATTAAGTAACAACAAGTGGCCTGGTTTGGTGACATACTCCTGTGCCAGGCTTTCAAAGTCTCAGATTTAAACCTTGGTCTACACTATACTATCCTGCTTGAGCAAGTGAGTTAAATAAGTTACATCTTGATTTTTCCATTTTCTATAATAATACATTTTCACAAGTTTAAAATATGTGATAACTAGCTAATGACTTATAATGTCAGATAGTTTTAGAAATATGAGTATAATTTTCCAATTTTCTAGCAATATCAGTGCACCCAAATGAAATTTTTCCCCCAGAGGAAAGCAGTTTGTGCCACTTGATCATAACCAAATGCCAAATTCTGAATTACTATATCTGTTTTAGTTATGCATTTAGTGCTCAGCTAGAATTCAAATTAACATTCTGAATAGAAATAAAGATAGACTCTTGCTTCTAACTTTTTCTAAACCAACCTCTGGACTACTAGGAAGTATAATCAGACATTCCCAAATTAAGCAGTCAATACCTTTGAATAATCACTTTCTAGATAAGCAAATTGCCGATCAGGTGATAATCCATAACTTGAAGCATTTACACTTTTCTGAAATTATAAAGAAGTTGATTAGAATACACAAAAAATAGCAGAGCCATGCAAATTGATTTCTAAAAGATAACATATCATTGATATAATCCTACGCACATACATTGTACTTTCAAATTTATTATTAAAAATGTGTATTACCTACTATGTACAAAGAAATTTACTACACACTATGGGACGAGGATGTGATAAGATGAACAGTGATTTCAAGATGTTTACAATATTAAGTAACTTATAAAGAAGTAACTTGTATTATAAATCAAAAATACTATAAGAGATATAAATATGCATTGCAAAAGCATTAAGGAAGAAGTGACTGAATCCAAATAAAAGGATAACGCGTTTGTACAGAGGAGAAGAGTTGCTACTTTTCTTCTAAGCTTGACATTAAAAGATTAGTAGGTGGGCATCCCCCGTGACATAGCAGGTTGAGTGCAGCGGGTTGAGCACAGCGCTGTGAGGCTGTCCGCAGCCTCTGCAGTGCAGGTTCGATTCCTGGCCCGCCAGGGAGATTCCCACATGGCATGCCAGACCTCTCCTGGCTCTCCCTCTGCTCCCGTCACCAGTGCTTTTGGTCTGTCTGCCTGTTCTGCTCCCTGCTCTGTCTCTGGTGAATCCTCTCACCCTCCCGTGCCTCTGCCCTGTACCCCAGCTATTGCATAAATAAAAATAAATCTAAAAAAAAAGATTAGTAGGTTCTTGAGAGTTGCGAATGTAAGAGGATTGAGAGTTCAGGAGGACAGAATAACATGTGCCCATATATCAGAGCTACTATTTATTATGTATTTATTTATTGCTAGGCACTATCCAAAGTACTTTCAAGTGTTACTTCATTTTAACTATTTAATTATTCCAAGGAGGTATTATTCTTCATACTTTGGAAGGGAAAGGAATAAAGCAAAGTGAGGTTGCTGTAGTGTGGAAACATACCAGAGTTTTCATAACTAGTAAGTGAGAGAGCCAGGATTTGTCTGACTATAAGAACTATGTTCTTAACTCTTAGCTCCTACCTTACTACTTTCATGGAGGAATAGATATCCTAGGTGATTTAGAGGAGGCATGGACAATAGTCCAGTGTGAGTGGAAGAAAGAAATTAAAGAACAATAGCAGAGATGGGGCTGAGAAGTTAGGCTTGATTTATATCAAGAGCTAAGGGTTTGGGTTCAGTGCTTTGGTTAATGAAGAGCTGGCAAAGACTTTGAGGAGGAAGGTGATGTTGGATACATACCAAGGTGGTATTACTCAAAATGGTATATGATTCTCCTGTTTCAATATTATAAAATACTATATTATTATCTGTAGATTGATGAAGATATTCTTGTCCTTTAAACAAGAAAGAAAACGAAACTTGAAATCATCTCCTTTAATAGAGAATGTTTATAACAACGGGGAATCTCTTTTATTTCCAGACTTTCTCTGCTTTTCATCTTGTCCCATACATATTGTTTTCTGAGATTTAAAATAAACACTCATATCAGGGTGCTTGGGAATGAATTTTTATTTTTGGTATTACAAAGAGGGTAAACTAGTAAAAAATGATGTATTTCTTTTGCAATAAAAAACACATATATTTATATGTGGGCTGGGTTTGGTTTAGTGTAAAACCTCTTTAATATACCTTTTATTTTTTAAAGAAAAAATGAAAATATTCAATGTTGTTTAGTGCCACTTTACAAGTAAACTATAATGTCATAAAAATATAGTTGCATTGATCATTTGTTTGATTATTTAATATCTTATTTTTAAAAGTTATATATAAATATCAATTTTATGATCCTTACAGGATTTGCTGTTAGAAGTGAGATTTGTCCCTTTCTCAGATTATCCAGACTAACAATGGAATTTCTCTTGTGGTAAGATTCTCATGATCTCTACTAAAGAGTTGCATGTCTCTCATGCAGAAAAACTATACCATATATTCAGATTATTCCAACAGTGCATTCTCAGCTCCTACTTTCTTGCTAAAACTCCTATTTGACATCATTACTATTGCATAAGTACAGTCTAAAAGTGCCTTGGTAGTGACTAGACTTATCTAAAGTATTGCACTTTTTCCCCATTTCAACTGATAGGACCTCTATCACCAGAGAGATGCACTGACACTAAAAGGAAAAACCCAAGCAAATTACATTTAAAACAAACGCAGAAGGGGTCCTCCCCGGTGGCGCAGCGGTTGAGCGCTGGGTAGCGAAGCTGCCCGCGGCCTTTGCGACGCCGGTTCGATCCCCGGCTGCTCCCCGGCCATGGGAGGAGGGTCCCACATGGCGCCCAGACCTCTCCTGCTGGCCGCTGCTCCCCTCAGCAGTGTACTTCGGTCCTTCTGCCTGCTCTGCTCCCCGCTCTGGCTCTGGTGAATTCTCTCACCCTCCCGCGCTTCTGACTGTACCCAGTGCATGTACAAACAAACAAACAAACAAATAAATAAAAATACATGCCTCTTTAAAAAAAAAAAAAAAAAAAACTCAGAAGGTAAAGAAATGATTGATTTACCTGAAATCCAGTTAGGAAAAAATGTTTTGTAAGTAAATGTCCCATTTAGAATGTCCTTCAGCGTGAGTGCTTTTGTTGTACTTTCTTCGGAGTTATGAACTTCAAGGGAGGAGGAAACGTATTATTACATAAAGGAAGATTAATAACAAATTCTAAGCTTATCTCTGATCTCTTCTTTCTCATATAATGAAAACATCTGCCACTTGCTAAACACGTATTTAACTCCAGTCTTAATTGGAACAAATATTATCTCCTATTCTCTAGGCATGGTAACTGAGACTTCAAGACCGAGTTTGATTGCCTGAAAGGGAAAACTGGTGGGAAAATATCAATGCCTATGAAGCGGATCAAGGAGGACCACACTGAGCAGTGGGTTATTGTTCTTCAGGCAGCAACGTGTTGTCAGAGGTTTCTAAGAAAGGGGATGCTCTGAGCTTCCAGCAGCTCAGGCCTTACAAACGTGGGATTGCCCACCACGCAGCCTTGATTAAAAACCTACTCTCTTAAGCAGTTCACTATGTTTCCTCACTTATGTGCTTCAATCTCTACTGATTTACCAGTGATGCATTTGAACATCCCAGTTGGTCAGATGAAATCATTTAGATTTTTATCTTCATACATCTCCAGAGAGGCATTAATCAATATAGATGATTTTGTATCCTGATGAGGAATTTTAATAAAGAGAAAGTGGACCAGAAGAAAAGAACCCACATCATCTAGACAAATGATCTCAGCAACTTTAAGAATAGAGGTTTTTCATGTAAAAGCTCATCTAATATAACTTTCAAACCTAAAGCAAATTTCAGCTACCTTTGAATTGTCCAAAAACAATTGTTCTTTTCAAACAGGCTATATCCCCCAAACAAACTCATTGTAGGGCCCTGAAACAGACACTCCAGATGTGCAACGTGGCAATTGACTTCCAATTCTCCTTCATAACCATATTGCCATTTTCCACCCCTCCCACCTAGTCCTTCTCCAGGCCACCACTAACAGAATGACAACAGAAAAATGTTCTGTACCTTCAATAGCATCTATGAATTTGGAATTTGTCCATGTGAAAATAAACTATTAATTATGTGAACTGAAATTTTATCCAAACTTCTAAACTCTTCCATTGCTTTCCATGACTCAGGGTAAAAAATGAAAACCTGGACCTTGGACCTATTTGGTCTGGAGCAGCCTATACCTCCAGTCTCTGCTTGCCCTCCTGATTACTTTCTAGATTCCAAACACACTGGAGTCTGTTCCTCATACTCATTTCTGTTTCCAGGACCTCTGCACCTCTTTCATTCCTCTCCCTTCTCCTCATAACTTCTTTTCAGTCCCTAGTGCTCAATACAAGGACCCTTCCTGACCCCCTCTTTGTATTTGGTTCCCTTGATATATATCACCATTTGTTTTCGAGAGCTTTTGTTTTGGTTTATAATCAGGTGTGTATTCAAATGATTATTTTATTAATGTTTCTCACTCCTCACTGTAGTCTCAAAACAATCACCAGAAGGCCAGTTACCATGTCCAATTGTGCTGAGTATCGTACTCTCAGTGTCTAGCATGGAACATGGAATGGGCATTTAGTAAATGATTGTTAAATGAATAAATACATGAAATGAAGGATGGATGTTTGGATGTATGTATGACTGAATGGATGGGGGAAATATTTATCTTCTTCACAGAATGGCTCTACTACTACTGATTTTCTGGATGGCTTTGGTAAATCAATCTCTGACACCTGTCTTGCTCAACTGTAATAAAAAGGACTGTACTAGAAAATGCTGATAATATCTTCCAGCTCTACCATACTAGATTTTAAAATTTGATACTCCACATGCTCTATTAACCTTGTAGTTTCATAAATGTTCTGCCAAACATTTATGTAAGCGCCAAATGACCAACTGAGTGATAGCATCCCTGCTATTCTTACTGATTCTCACAAATGTGTTTATGCTCCACACTCTTGCTTAGGCTATGAATTATATTTCTTAATTTGTTAAAAAATATTCTGGTGGTTATAAGAACAAAAGTGACTGGTGAACTCTTTTGCAACCAGATGCAAAAATACTCAATAATATTAGGTTATTCTATTTGTTTAAAGTAATCATCTTTTTACATTTTCTTTGCATAAGGTTGTACATGACATACAATTACTTGTAATGAAAGTTCTATTTAGTTAAATGATTTTGTGCCAGATTCATATCACTAATTTTGTAATTCCCATTCAATGAATAAAAGATCATTTTACTACACAGTATTAGTATAATTACTAAGTATTTTAATTGAATCTTTTTAAATTGCCATCTGTTTCTAATGTAGTGAAGAGGAAATTCTAACACTATTTGCTGTGGAAATTGCTTTTCAATTGAGATATGTTTAATTTGTGTCTACATGACCTAAACATCTGCATGGAAAATTTCAAAATAAATGAACCCCTTTATTGTGAATACACAGAAAACTAGGTAATTGCTTTTGTAAAAAAAAATTGATATTAATTTAGTAAAATAATATAATCTTAGTGATATCTTTTTCTTTCTTATTTTTTTTTGGGTGGGATCTAATATATGTAATGCTTCGATTATGGCTAATGACTTATATAATAGATTTTCCTATTTAAGTATCTTTGCATATAATTTTCCTTACTTGCAACTATGCTTAATTGAGACATTCATTGCTATAATTAATCTTCATTTTTATAGAAGTTTAAAGTAAGTGAGAAAATTCAATTGAAACATTTAGGTCTGTGCTTGGCACTTTATAAGGTGTATGCTTGGCACATAGAAAGCAGTCAATAAATGTTAGTTTTTGCTATTCTCATAGTGTATCAGTAGTCTTCAATACATATTTTTTTAATCCATGTTTTCCAAACTAATTTGACCACTGAGACATTTGTTTGTTGAATATCTACTGTAATTACTGTTTGGAAAATACTTTCATCTTAAACTATCAGTATATAAGATATAGTTTATTTTTATCCTAATTTAATGAAATTTATCTGTTTTACTTAGAACATTTTGGTAATTGCACAGCTTCAAAACTTAAATAGTACAACTATGATCACAAATATTGTAACTGCTAATATTGCATATATGGATACACAAAATTTGTTCTAAAATGAGAGTTTCAAATTATTTTTAAATACCTACTCATTTTCCTTCTCATGTAATTATTAACCAAGCTGAGCCTTATCATATTTCTCAAAAAGATTTCAAGGAAAATTTATCTTTTAGAACCTCTAATTTAGATTATCCAGGAAAGCTAAATGAGAGTAAATTTCATATTACTTCCTACTTAGTCATTTATTCTAAATGGATGCATAGTAGTTACAAATGCCAACAATCTATATAGAGAACTTAGCATATGTTATGACTTCAAATATCTGCAAAAACAATTTTAAACTTGTATTAATTGCACTACTAATTTCCATGATGAAAATATTCCTTACCAGTACCCAAAAAGTAATGACATGTATAGAATATATCTAGAGGAATCAACTATATGTATATTGAAATAGGGTTCATGGCACAGATTTGGGGTGTGAAATTACTCTTAGCGTCACACGTAACACAGCCAGGGTTCAGAAGGTATGATCATGCTACAATCAGGATGAGCACAGGTGTAGAGTGATAGCAAATAAAATGGGAAGAATTTTAATTAGGCATGCTTCTCTTTCTGCTGAAAATGACCATAAGTTTGTGAACACAATGGAATAATGTGTCTGCTCTGAGGTGTTGCATTAAATCATATATTAAGAGTTATTAAGCAGAAAATTTATGTAGAGTTTGCAGTGTTCCCCAGCTCTGGTTGCTTGTTCCTCTAGAAAGATCATTAACATAATAATGTTTCACTACTGTATAGATGTTGACCCCTATATCAGCCACCAGCAGAAATGCCCTTCCATTAGGCTCTTTGAAAATGCCATTGGTTTATTGCTATCGTAACACTTAGCTAAAGTTTGTTAACATGAATCTTTCTCTTTTCAGTATTTATGTGAGTTTTATAAGTCTCTATCCTTGAGAGCAGAATCTTTGATTTTCTTGCTATTACATTCCCAGCAGTTACAACAGTGCTTGGCATATAGAGGGAACACAACAGATATTTGTTGAATGAAAAAAATAAACTCAACATACAAGTTAGCTCGTTACATTAGCTGTGTTAGCCTGTCCTCATTCTTTAACCTCCTGTTTGTTTTGTAAATTTCACATATACAATGTTCTACCTAGATACGCCTTCATTTAAATATATATCAAAATTTAGTTTTGGAGTCATTTGGACTGTTCGTTCGAAAAGCAGCTTCCTAGTCTTTGTCTCAAACCCACTGAGTCAGAATATTTCAGGCCGTTTTCATTTTTACTAAGCTCCTCCTGCCCCCAAGTGATTCTTCTATAAAAGTTCAGAATCCAAAATTAACGACTGCACTGAATCTACTCTGTTCAATGTATCTCTGTGAATTCCTCCTTTAAAGTCCTAGTAGGCGAATGGGGCTGACCTGAATAGCAAGCCATTCCTCTGGGGCAGGGACTACCCAAAACTAACTAACTGCTGATCATGACTTTCAAGAAATGTTAATGGTCCCCATGAATGTTTATGCCTCTATTCAGGTCTTTTGAAGTCTGTCCAAAAGGAGTTTTCTTTAGATACACTCGTGCTATATCTTGAGGAGTGGAGAAAGAGCAAGGGGATTAATTCTGATGCAGATAAGATTTAAGCAAGATTGCAGAGAAAAAAATTGGGGTTATAGTTTTTCAGAGATCTGTGTGTGAGTGTGTGTGTGGAGGGGGGTGTATAAATCAGTATAAATGCGTTTCCATGACACACTAAAAAAGTTCCAGTAACCAGAAAAATAGTCCACTGATAATTATTGAACAAATAAGTAGATATTCATATTCTTTTCCAAATACTGTTTTTAAGATTGAAATATAATCGTGATTACTTTTGAAATTTGTTAGTAGCTTCTATCATTTTGAAACTAATAGTTTAGCAGAAGTAGAATTCTGGAAGCATGACTTCCTTCTATCTGTAACTGACACCTGATTAACACTTAATTCCCTAAGAGCCCTTGAATTTGATTTGACCGGTTGTTTG